GTGCGGTTGGCGTCATAATTTAATTATTCTTAAATTCGTTCTTAGTAGATATTGTGAAATAAAATTGATGTAATGTTGTGTTACAACTGTCTGCGCAACTGAAGAATTAGTGAAATCTTTGAAATATACACGATTCCCGTCAAGTGGACGTGAGAACTTTATTATAGTGTTGACTACCTCACAGGAGCTTATGGAAAAAGCTAACGCGATGCATTTCGTGCCAAACACTCCAAGAAACAGTAGAATGCGTCACACTGACATTGTAACGTAAAAAATAAAGTATTAAATATAACTAAATACTAGGCTGTACGGGCATGTTCCCTTTGCCTTCTCTAAAAAGGGAGAATCTTTAAAAACAATAAATAAAAGAAGGGCGCGGGAAAGCTTGAGAGTTAAAGGCGGTCTTTTGCGAAATTAAAATATTTTTTATATTTTATTGTTATAAAACACTTAAAAGTTGTCTGAAGAATACTGTTTCAACTCTGCTGACATGGGCAGAGTTAAATCTAAAAAGCGGAAACGAAAACCTGGTGGTGATGGGGATAATCCTGTCGACGAAGATGCTGCTTCGAGCTCCGGTTCTACATCTTCCGAAAATCTTTCTGGATTCGTCGAAATAGATCAAGAATCTCCTACAGTCAAGTACAAACCCTTTGTATTACCGCATTATGTCCGGTCCTACTCAGAAAACGCAGGTGGTACAGAGTTTATAGTTTTCATATCAAGTACTGATGATAGACCAGTAGGCAATAGAGACCTTATGTATCTGTCCAACATATTCCAAAGAAATATGAAGGGGATTAAACAATTTAAAAGAATTAATAAATTCAAGTTTGGAATTATTTTTGACAAACCAACTATGGCTAATGCAGCACTCCAGAATAAAGATTTTTTCAAACAGCACAGATTACAAGCCAGTATTCCAGCTTCTGCATCTGAGCAAATTGGGATAATAACGAGCGTACCTATTGATTATAGCAATGCTAAATTATATAAACATTTAACTTGTTCAAAAAAAATTATATCTATTCGTAGGTTTATGCGTAGAGTAAGAACGATAGTGGCGCAACTACATTGCAACCAACGCAAACAATCTCAATTACATTTGCATCAACCACATTGCCAGAATCAGTAGAATTAAACTCATGGCTTTTTCCCGTGAAAAAATATGTTCCTCCAATAAAACAATGCTTTAATTGTTTATTATATGGTCATACAGCTGCATTTTGCAAAAATGCCACAAAATGCTCGAAATGTGTAGGTAATAACTATAGAGAATGTGATAGTCAAATACTTATCTGCTTTCATTGCAAAGGTAGCCATATAGCCATAGATAGTAACTGTCCTGTGTGCAAGTCGGTAAGTATGGTGGACACGGCTACGTATGTGTATGATTATACAAGAGATACATACGGATTTATATATAAATAATTATATTATGTTAGTGTCGGTTGAAAATTAGAATAGTGAAATACATTATTTCAAAAATCGTGTTTTTTTATTTTTGTTTTTTTTTGCACATTCACAAGTAACATTTTGTATTTTCTAAAACAATAACTTGTTAAAAAATACTATTTGGTAAATTAATTTATTAATGATAATGGGTTTTTAGTAAAATTATGAATATATTTTTTGTAAAAATAGTAAAAACCCCTGCCAATATTCATTCTAAATACAGATGCTAACAATTGGCACTTTATTTTTAATACTGTCAAATACCCTGTTCAGACTAGCTCAGAGTCGGAACGAATTTCAGAAACAATAACAGCAAATTTACCGTTATCTCCGTAACTTAATGCACATATTCCTTCTGAGCTGATAATCGAAGGAATTCTCGAAATCCCAAAATGTACACTACGTTGCGGAGATAATGGTGATGGTAACTTTCCGGTTTGTGAAATTCGATACGATTCTGCGCTAGTAAAAATGGACCATAAATGGGTGTCACGAAAAGTTCCCTTGTTCTTACTCTTAGGAATATATTTTACAACATCCTGACCGGCCCCCGTAGCATGACCACCACAATTTACATTATATCATGTTTTTTATCACGTCTAACTGTCAAACTCCACAGTAATTTGACAATTGAGCGTGATAAAAAGGAGTTATATATCATATCCTGCCCCCCTAGCATGAGTACCAAAACGCGATATGATAAAGCGATTTATCGACATTAACTGTCAAACTACAATGGAGTTTGACAGTTGAGTGTCGATAAATCGCTTTATCATATCGCGTTTTGTTAGTCATGCTAGGGGGGCTGGTGCTGGGTCTTGTAAACTCGTGTAACATATTGCAGTTATTCATTTAAGACCCCTCTACATGAGCAATCAAAAAAGCTAATCGTCAATAGTCCGTCAGTAGTGACCGCATATCCGTTGTCCGCCATCTTGTTGTCAACCCATTGGCGTACAGCGACGGGTAGCGGACGAAGCTGCAGTGACAATGATATTAAATACCCTAGATACCCTAATACGAACAAAAAAGTGGCGGAAACCTATCCAAAAGGTACATTGGACGATCCACCAGTTCGAAATGAAAGCTCGTAAAATTTTACGACTTATGCTATATGCAGAAGAATATAGACCTTATTTCCTTGAGTCTACGCGCAATTCTGAATACTCAATATAGCACGCACGAACCGTGAAGAAAAGAGATTGCTATATAACCGACCATGCATTCGAATATAACAAATATTTTCTATTAAATCAGGTTATAGTAGGCATTAGAACAAAGTTTGCTTCAAATGCGTTAAATTAACCAACATTTATTATATATCTGTCGAAAAAACGACACTTCGTTCTATAATTTTTTCTTTCTTCGCCAATCTCTGCGGAATCCTAACTTTTCAACAGTCCGCGCGTGTCTGAACCAAGAAGTGCTTGAGTGGAGTTCAAGCACTTCTTGATTGGGACATTTTGAGCGCACGTGGTCTATCTAGGGTATTTAATATCGTTGTGCAGTGAGTGCTGAACTTATCCATACCGCTCAACATGTACCATCCTGTACCCCAATAGGGGTGATGACGGGATACAGTAAACGAAATTCTATTTAGTCCGTCAGTTAGATGATCAAAAAATAATGGACACGTATTTTTTCTTTGGGCAATCAACCAAAAAATGCCAAAGTTATAGATAGCGCGTCAAAGTTTGGGAGTAGGGACTCGTGACGTGACTTTTGAGTGAATTTTCACTTATAAGTGTACTCAAACGTGATGTCATGCGACTTTTCAAATCAATATATCTCTGCAATGTTTATATTATGTGAAAAAAGAAAAAATACGTGTCCAATACTTTTTGATAATCTACCTGATAAACGAAGAAAAAAAATTAAGGAAAAGTTTACTAGAAAAAAATCCACGCGGACCAGGCAGCGGACGGGACCCGAACCCGCATCCTTCGCTATCCGGGCGCGAATGCACTGACCATTATGCTACCACGGCCCTATTAGCCGCGTCGAAATTTTCCTAGCCTTAAGCTGCAAGCTTATGGATAGCGAAGGATGCGGGTTCGAGTTCGAGCGGGAGAGAGATTTTTTTCTAGTAAACTTTTCCTTAGATTAAATTAAATGCTTAAAAAATAAATAAAATCATAAAAAAAAATTAGTCATCATCCCTATTCTCGTTACTGAAATCGTAGGTAGCGATTTAGCTGCGATATAGTCGTTGAAACCACTTCCGTATTCACATATTCAAATGAAGCAATTTTGATGTCGTCCGATCGCAATGTAGTTTTACGATATTCTGATAAACAACAATTACTAAATCCCCGCCGGACCACCTTTACCATTAGGCAGTATAATTAATGGTACGAATGGCACTGATTTATCCCATTAGTACCGTTGATGGTACAAATGGTACCGATGAATTCGCTAACTAAATGTTATTCTCATAAATAATTGATACTTTACTTCAATAGAACACCAACGATTCATCATCTTCATCAGCCTATTAATGTCCCCACTGCTGGCGCGCCTTCCCCAATGGATGGAATAGGGAGATTGGGCCATGACTCACCACGCGGGCCCAGTGCGGATTGGCGAGTGCTAACGACTGCAGATGCAGCTGGGACCAACGGCACGTGCCTTCCGAAATACGGAAGCCCTCGAATTAGAAGATTTTTGGTCACCCATCCAATGATCAACCACTGCGAAAGTTGCTTAACTTCAATGATCGCAGCCGTACGCGCTAACCACCTGCGTTACGAGTTCCGCTCGAGCGAATAGAACACCAACGATTAAATGGCAAATAATGTAATTTAAAGTAAATCATTGTTTTTAAAGTAAAAGGTGTATCTGAAGCTTGGTAAAACTTGTACAATTTTGACTGGTACTCTTTTTCTTCATAGTTGACAAGTCGTTCTGATGTCGTTTTGGTTCGATCATATCGAGCTATAGTTCTATCATAAGCAGACCCCTCTTTCCCACCACAGATCAAATACACAAAGTCCCTAGTTCCTGTTAGATCACCAAACGGGGGTCATAGGGGCCCCATTGTCCTAATATGCCCAGGGCCTCCAATTGGTCAAAGACGGCACTGATCATTAGGTACTCTTCTGTGGTTCTATAGAAGTACAGTTTACGAAACATGTGAATACCAATCTTCGGTTGGACTATGATTGATAGACTTCTGCCCCCGTAGCATGAACACCACAATTTACATGATATCACGTTTTTATCGCGTCTTACAGTCAAACCATAGTAATTTGACAATTGAGCGTGATAATAACGTGGAAGTAAACGCAACGTGAAGTAAATGAGGAGCTTGATGGCGCAAGTGGTTAGCGCGTTCGGCAGCGATCGTTGAAGTTAAGCAACTTTCGCAGTGGTCGGCCATTGGATGGGTGACCAAAATATTTACTATCTCGAGCCTCTCCGTGTTTCGGAAGGCACGTTAAGCCGTTGGTCCCGGCTGCTTCTGCAGTCGTTAGCATCCACCAATCCGCACTGGGCCCGCGTGGTGGGTCATGGCCCAATCTCCCTATTCCATCCATAGGGAAGGCCTGTGCCCCAGCAGTGGGGACATCAATAGGCTGATGATGATGATGATAACGTGGTGCTCATACTAGGGGGCTGAACTACAATGACTTGTCGATCCGGCCTTTTTACGAGAATTGGAGACAGTTAAGTATCCCAAGGACTATTCGCTTATAGCTTTTGACAGATGGAAGCGATAATCACCGAGCTATTAAGAGATTCACTACTGCTTTATTATAACGCGAAAGGTAGGTACTTGTCCAGAAAAGGCAGATGGCTTATTTCCTACGGAAGTGTTAAAAGCTCTGGATTCACGAGACTATGGTTGCATTGCTTGGCGCCTGAACAATATTCCGCTTTCATTATGCGAACGGCTAGGGAGTGGAACTCCTTGCCGAGGTCTGTTTTCCCGGACCAATATAATCCGGACATCTTCAAGACCAGAGTGAACAGGCATCTTCTAGACAGGCGTGACCCTTCCTAGGCTTCATCATCGCTTTCCATCAGGCGAGATTGAGGTCAAACGCCTTGCCTGTTCAGCATAAAAAAAACAATAGTGAAGTTGAAATAGATGACGCACGTAAATGAGCGAGCGACTATCTCAAAAACCGCACGCACGCAATTAGCGCGGTGCTCTCCTGTGTACGGCATGATGGCTAAATAAAAATATAAGGACCGAACACACAAATGAAACTAGCCTTATTGTATTCCCGCGCTTTTTTTACGTTCCGTTTCACGCTCAAAATACTTGGCTTTTTATGAGACAGACTGAATTTGCGCAACACACTCGACGGGTTCATTTACCATATTAAAATAATATTAAAGCTTCTTTATTAGGTATTATTAAATGTGAGCATACAAATAAAAATAATAATAAACTTAATTAGGTAATTATATATCGAAGCGTAGGTAGCGAGATTCTTCGTCCTAGCTAGGGTTACCATCCGTCTGGATTTGTCCGGCTTTTTAATTTGTACAGTTTTTTTTAAATTAGATTGAAAGTAAAACTAATTATTAAGTTATATCAAATAAGTTAAACAATCATTATTAAGTTCTCATTAAAACAAAATATAAATCATCTTAAAAATCAAAAACGAGACCCCCCCCCGCGTCTGCTACCACGCGTATAATATCACTGTAACTAAGTGGGTGATGTTTGCATTTTGTGACTAAAATATCCGGACTTTTATCGGAATGTCCGGCTTTTTGTCAGGACTTTTCGAGTCCTAGTTAAATATGGTCAATATTAAGGTCCTCCGGTGGCAAACCCCGCGGGAATAAAGGACAGCCCCACCTGCCTACCTTAAAAAGGTCGTGATACAACGAGCACAAACAGAATGCAGTACCTAGTGACTATATAAAAATAGTTCTTATGGGCACCTTCCAGCTCTGTAGCACATAGAGAAAGGATATGGTACGTTGTCATTGGCAATCACTTTATCAATAATACACAATCTACAAACAAACAGAAAAAGTTTATTTCTTTTTCAATCATAATTATAATTTTAATGGCGTTAATAGTCCGTGTAGCTAGTGATCGGATATCCGTTGTCGGCCATCTTGTCGTCGATCCATTGGCGCGCGCTCGCCACCCGCGCGTACATAGACGGGTAGCGGTCGAAGCTGCAGTTAGTACTGAATGTGACCATGCCGCTCAACATGTACCGACCGGGTTGGTCCTGTGGGGAAAGCTAAGAAAATATAAAGTGTCGCCGCACTCGGACCACACGCCACAGCCACAAACGCCGCCACGAGAAGCTAGAAGCGGCTACTAAAGTGGCTGAAGCGCTCGACAGCGGCCAACTAAGGTAAGGGAGAGAGGGGTGGGGAATCGCGCGAGTGACGTGTGGCGGCGTTTTGTATCGGCGCATTAAGTGGCCGGTGCGGGCCATAAGAAGCGAGCAACGACGATTTGTAGCGTGTGGCGGCCACCAGCGTACCGTGTGTGGCGAGTTCATATAAAATATATGAAAACTACAAGAAATATGCCGGTAGCGGCGTTTTGTGGTTGTGGTCGGTGGCCCGCGTGCGGCGACAAAAAGAGAAAGCAAAATTTGCTAGAAAATATTCCGGCCCAGGGTTTTAGGTGATTCCAATTACTTAAATATGCCAGTCACCGATGGATTCCGTGACGGCAGCCCTCTCTTGTAGTTCTGTCCTACATGAGAGGGCCGCGGAACGGCCTGCGAGGGAAACACCTAGGCAGCCCTTCCGCAGCGGACGGAGAGAGTTGCGGTGGGCAATAGGCCGCGCACTTAGCTCCTAGCGCGGGCAGTCCTGCGCACGTCTGCGGGATCTCCCGAAATACCCCGGGTGATCCCTAGCTAGGCCGGGAGGCTGCTGGGTGCGGAGACGCGGTGAAGTCCCTCAAAGTGGATCTCGCCGTTCCGCACTTAACAGCGTAGAGGATATTCGCAGGGTTTTTAGCGGATATGCCGTGAGCGCTCGTAAGCCGCGCGGACTGTTTAACGGCTTCTCCGTTTTTACCCTTGAATCTCTTTTCACCCATGGATCCCCTTTACACCTTCCAATCCCCTTTTACCCCTCCATTCCTTTTCCGTTCCGTTGTTCCGTTTCATGTTGTCGCGAACTCTATTTATCCGGTGACGCGCCCAGACCTTGCACCTCGTGGCGCCTTTATTTCCGCGATTTAATGCCCAAGTTTCGTAATAATTTTAATTAAATGTATAAGTGCTAGGTAGACGAATAATTGTTTGTAAAGTAAGAAAGTTGGCATATGTGTATGTGTGCGTGTGTGTACTTTTATTATTAATTTGTACCCTAAAATCTGTCCTCATTGCCCAGCTACTTCTGAAATCTTCAGATATATAGCAGTAGCTGACGGACCAGGCGGGAAAAAGTCCCTTAGATGTTCTCCTCCTCTCCCCTTACAACCACCCTTTGCCTCCGGAACGCAGCAGTATCAGTTATTTGTGTTTCATAGTAACTAATAATCTCTTACCCGATCTCTTGTAGGGTTTCTTACCATTCTGCTTATTGTATAAAACCTTTGTTGTTGGCACTTACATACTCTCACTAAAAACGTTAGTTTTGTTCCGTCCTTGCTGTTCCCTGTGCCCCCACCGTTCTAACTTTTTCTTCCCCGCTTTGTAACTCTGTCTCTCTCGCGCACACTTAGTGTTGCCAATGCTTATTATGAATTACCAATAACATTCGCTATTCGCGACACATGTGTGTAATAAAAAATATGATTCCAATTACAACTGAGAGTAGAGTACCTTAGTACCTTTACACCGTCCATTTATGAATATGACTGCCCGGGAACTTGACCCCGCTCCCCCCAGGTCATCGGTCTTTAAAGGTTTTTGTAAATTAAGCCGAATATTTGATTTGTAACTTATAAAAACTTCTCATTCAACACTGGAGGCTCGCACTTTGTTCTTGTTTACTTACGTTGTAAGGTAAAAGGCGAACCATACTGACCTGCATCGGGCAAACCAGAGGTGATCCACCGCTGCCCTTGCAAGAATCCACACTGGCCTCCCCCAGGGCACACATGAACGAATCGTCAAGTATGAAGTACGGCCCCATCATCTCTAGAGGTCTGAGTTGCGTCTGACACGACTCCCGGTCCACCAGCGGCAACTCCACCTGTGAGAACGTTACTTTTAAGAGCAATGTTAACGCCATCTATCCTTCAGCGAGAGAATCGACAATCGGTCCATCATCATCGACCGTTCATACATTCATTTCGTACCCATTCGTTACTACATTCACTCATTTTGATTTATATAGATTCACTCTCCCTCTTGCAATTCGAATTCAAAAAGACAACGTACGCACATAATTTCAATAAGATCTGTATTTTACTATGAATAATATTCTACAATCTGAATATCCGATTTTTATTGAGAAATCTACATATAGAAGACACTAAGCTATCGAACAAGCAAGAACACAGAAAGAGATTAGAAGGGCCTATTGGTGCGCTTTCTTTCATCCAAATGCTCACTGACCGAAACTTGGTTCTGATTGGTCCGTTACTCTCGGGTGTGAGCGCTAATTGGTTCGATGAGGAATAGGAAATGAAGGCTAAACGGTACCACTTCATAGTGGGCACGGGACGGCTGGGATGGCGACGAAGGCGTTTCGTGTGCGTCCGCCCCAGAAAGGGGAGAGGGACCATTGGGACAAAGGAGACAGGTAAAGAAGTTAGCACCCGCCAATCCTCGGCCAGGCCCAATCGCCCTACTCCATCCATAGGGAAGGCCTGTGCTAGGATTGCCACCCATACTTTACTATAAAGTATTGTACCTACGTTATACTTTATGCTAACAATAAAGTACAAGAAAATACTTTACTTAATGTAATTTGATTACTCGGGGATTAATTTTACATAAAAAATACAAAAAGAGGTTGATATGAATATTTTTTGCGTAAAACGCCCTAAGCTAATTCAACATTGCAACATTTTCGTGGCTGTATGGCTTTGTACCATGACCTTTTCCATTGCTGAAAAGAACTACAAATTTTTAGTTGGCACAAATTATTTAGTAGAAGTTGCTAGTTATTAAAGTAGCAACGTAAAATATATTTTTAAGCTTACTAATAAAGTGGAATAAAAAGTACTTTATTTTAAACATAATGTACTTTTACCCGACTGCGCAATGCAAGAGCGCGAAGCGCGACGCGCAGACAGGGTATAGTGTTTAACAGTCTATATATGTATGTTTGTTTCTTTGTGGCACACTAGAGACCAAATGCCTGGACCGATTTTTATTGATTCATACATCAATCGATTCGTCTCAATCATGGGAGTGCTACTAAAGATATGATAGTAATCAAAATTCAATATGGGCAAAATTAGGCGCCATATTGTGACGATGTAAAAAAAATAAGTTGATAAAATATGTCAAGTGGGATATCACTGTCTAGATAATCGAAAATCATGTTTAGGTTCCTAATTCTATCTTTAATATCCAAATGTACTTTATTTAGAAAATAAAAGGCGGCAACCCTTTATTTTCGAAATAAAGCTAAATATTATATTTTCTAAATAAAATAAAGATAAAAATCCAGCTTCGTATCAAACTCATTTTGTCTCCAAGCTATTCGTCTCTGGAACGATCTTCCGGAGAGTGTGAGAAAAGCACCCAGTAAACCTGCTTTCAAGGTCCTTGTACGTCGGCATTTCGCTAAGAAGTCTTAACAATTTCAATTTCTAAGTATATTATGATCAAACTCTGGTCAATCCGCCTAATATTAATATTATTTTTATTATATTTTATTATTATTTGTATTTTGTTTTATTATAGTATTCTTAAGTAAGTATAGAGGTATTTATTATTGTATATATTTAGGTATTTATCGTATATATAAATATGTATGTATATATATGTAGTTATGTAAGTATATTTATAGATGTTATGTATTATAATTTTATATTAAGTATCATGTAGTTTTATCAATTTTTTTTCCTTTCACCTTTTGCTTTTATTTACTTTACCGCATAATTGTCTCTGCTTAGCCCGATGGTTGACTGGTAGAGAATGCCATGTGGCATTAAGTCCGCCATTTGTTGTAAATAATAATAAAGAGTAAATAAATAAAAATAAATAAATAAAACCCTAGCCTGTGCCCCAGCAGTTGGGACATTAATAGGCTGATGATAATGATGAATATGAATCGTTACTGCTGTTCCTATTACCTACCTTGTTCATAATGTACTGGTGTTCATCTAATCCATTTTTTCCCCAACCACTGGATATGCATTTACTGCCGGTGGCCATTTCTACGGACTTCGGCGGCAGACATACGAAGTTGACGTGCGAAGCTACGACTGCAGGCTTCACCAGGAATACGAGAGCGTAGTTGTTGATCAGTACATCTGGGGAATTAATCGTTATACAGTCAAATCCGAATATACCGACACCGTTTATAACGACCGGTCGGTTATTACGACCAATAGGGTATTTGACAAGTTTTAGAAAACGATCTCACGTTATTGACTAATGTTTATGGAGTCCGTTAAAAGGTATATGGATAAACATCATTCTGTTGTGTATTTCAGTAAAAATAACCAAATAAAAACTCCATTTTCAAGTTGCCGCGAAAACGTTTCTCTGGACAATATGGCGTCTTACTAATGTGTCACACGACTGTTATTAAAACGTCAAACGATATAATGTTATGTCACTTCAACCGGAAGTTTACTTGCGTGTGACGTCTTTTTAGGCGACGCCAATCCCAAGCCTTTTGGGTCACGTGACAATATATAAGAAAAATATTTTTTTTTCGTGGGTTTTTAGTAAAATTACGATATTTTTTTTGTAAAAAAAGTAAAAACCCCTGCCAATATTCATTGTAATCACAGATGCCAACAATTGGCACTTTATTTTTAATACTGTCAAATACCCTATTGGCAAGGTCGCGGCCGAAACCCTATAGGCATATAACCCTAGTAAACAAACTCCCTATAACAACACCCGGTATAGCGAAATACCACTTAAAACGGCTCTAGTCTATGAATATCGATAAAGTTCATATATCGATATTCATCTGCTTTATCGATCAACCGTTTTACTTGTTCCAGCAAAACAAAATATACTGTGGGTAATAGATAAATGATGGGTCTCGCTTCACTCGACTAGATACCGCCGGTGTACTTGTCTAATGCGGCAACAAATACTATGCCGAAATCGGCATACCCGAACCTTCACCGTGTCAGTCACATTGACAGCTGCGTTTTAGGAGTTAGTCCCGAATATTTTAATCAATTTAGAGCACAATCCGCAGCAAAATGCCAGTTTCTGTTGTGAAATTTTGTAAGAATAATATGTAGTTCAAAAAATAAAAAGGACACTGGGATCGCATACCATCAATAATTATTTTATAATTTCGAAATTTCGATGTAAAATTTCATGAAAAATAAACGTCATTTAGTGTTGCCAAGTACCTACGCAATATAAAAGTCCATATGGTTGAGATATTTTATAATATGAATATACTGTTATATGACCCATTTCATTTGACATCCTAATGAAATACAAACAATTAGTGTCAGTGAATTGAAAATATTTGAAAATAAAAAAAGGTGAAGAAAACCACAATTTATGGAACAATTGTTGAAATTAATTGAATGAAATTAGGTAGGTATCTAGTGGAGTGAAGCGAGACCAATCATTCATTTATGCTGTGGGTAACATTTTTACTTCTCTTCGATATTTTATTTAAAAACAAGCTATCCTTTATCTATTACCATACTACATACATACATTATGACAATAATATGACTTACTTGTGTATATTGCTTATAGCAACTATCGGACATAACGTCCGAAGTTATATGGTCCCTTCAATGTCGTTAGATCCAGTTTCGACTGTAATTTATTTATAGCCTGCGCAGACGAGGGACCTTTGTCTGCGGGTATTTTTTTGTTCGTCGAAATAGATCGTTTCTAAGAGGCTATTCAGCACTCTTAGTAGGAGTTCGAGCTCACGAAAACTATCATAGTTTTCGTAATTGTAAATGTTATAGTTATGATTTTATTTATTTTTTAAGCATTTAACTGCTAGATGTTTAAATCTAAAGAAAAGTTTACTAGAAAAAAAATCCACGCGGACCAGGCAGCGGACGGGACTCGAACCCGCATCCTTCGCTATCCGGGCGAATGCACTGACTATTATGCTACCACGGCCCTTTTAGCCGCGTTGAAATTTTCCTAGCCTTAAGCTGCAAGGCAGCGCCATCTCTTCGCATTGTAGGTAACACACAATGTCAAATGAATACTTTTTCAAGTATTAAACATTTGAAAGAAGAAATAGCAATTATATGTTTAAATCTAAAGAAAAGTTAACTAGAAAAAAATCCACGCGGACCAGGCAGCGGACGGGACTCGAATCCGCATCCTTCGCTATCCGGGCGAATGCACTGACCATTATGCTACCACGGCCCTTTTAGCCGCGTCGAAATTTTCCTAGCCTTAAGCTGCAAGGCAGCGCCATCTCTTCGCATTGTAGGTAACCCACAATGTAAAATGAATACTTTTTCAAGTATTAAACATTTGAAAGAAGAAATAGCAATTATAGTTATGATTTTATTTATTTTTTAAGCATTTAACTGCTAGATGTTTAAATCTGCCTGGTCCGCGTGGATTTTTTTCTTGTAAATGTTATGTTTCTATGTGCATTTTGGTGAAAAGTAACCAAATATACTTAAAGTTTAAGAAGACGCAAATGATTTAATGATAGAATTGAAAAACACTATTTGTATCGAAACGAAAACAATAAAATTAGTACCCTCCTTGGTAAGAGTGCGAGCTCACAAACACTATCATAGTTTTCGTAATTGTAAAACTCGTACTAAGCGTACTGGCTATTCATTTATTAGGTAAGGCGATTTAGGGGGGGGGGGGGGGATGACCATGTCTTATTTTTTCTTACAAGAGAATGGGAGGGTGTCATAATAGTTCTTACGAAAACTCACAAAAATGCGCAAAGTTTAGATTATATTTTGCAAAAGTAAGTAGTTTATTACTATAATAAAGAATACTAGCACCAATGGTAATTTGAAAATAAGCATTAGGTATAAAACAATTAAACACGTAGGTATTCATTTTTATTCCTTAAGATTCTTACCTAGGGGAGGGAGCAAAAAACTAGCGAAAATAGTCTAACGTATTAAATGAATGGCCCTTAACTGCATCGTAAACGCGCACGACGGATTAAAGTACCGCGTACAAAAAGTCCCTTGAACAATCTAGGACACCGAAAGACTGGACCACAGTCTTCGAAAAAAATTTGACTAGCGCAGCAACATACACAGCGATCATTAGTATGCGTGCGCGCGCCTGATTTAAAGGAATGGACCCAGTATTCTCTTTTAAAACATCTTCTCTATTCCCGCGGACCAGGCATCAGACGGGACTTTACATTCAGATTTAAATATAGTTATAGATTTCAGTTAAATGATAAAAAATATATAATCTTATCTTTTTCTTAAATTTCATGTTAATTACGACACAACGTAATGAGCATAATTTTTCTTCCATGTTCGTCTTCGGGGGACAAATTAAATGTGCGCACACACAGGCCATTAGGAGGTCTGTGTACAGAATAATGTCATATCGTTAACGGAGATCGATAGACAAACCTCGTTTTAATTTAGAAATAGAATACATTAAGTAGACTTCACTGAATGAGAAGCGTTCGTGCATTTATACACAGTGCGACCAAGCTCTTGGTGGCAGTTTTATGACAATGACACTGACAGCAGGGCGCTGTTGTTTTTTTGTTTTTTTTTCTTCCAGCTGTAGCATGTCGCTATAATGGAGAAGTATACGCAAAACTCGACATAGATTGCGCTGCAAACGCTTGACGCAAACCACAGCCAAATATTGCCGCTGTCAAATTTTAAACGTGTTTTTTTGTTGTTAAAATTTTTAAATAAGTGGTAAAATGTATTCAACATGGTCTGTAATACAGCTAAAACAGAGTTGAAAAGGAGAGGAGCATCTGTGCAAGGCAGAAAATCTCTAGTAGAAAGGTACTCTTTCTATTATTATGCTAGAATGCTCATTCTCGGTACTTAGATGCATTTTCAATGATTATTTTAATAGTTCATGGATCTGAGTAACTTTTAGCGGGCTCATTAGTCAAATCTATCTTATTTTTGCATCAGTCAGACATCTCATACAGTTAGGTTACCTCTGGCTAAAATGGGAGGTATAACATTGGGTTTTTTAGAGACTTGAGGCATATGACCTCAATTTTATTTTAGTGCAGTTTTTTTCTGATCAAAATGAAGACATCCAGATGCAATCACCTGCCTCAGATACATACAATGATTTAAACAGCAGCTCAGTTTTACCCCCTTTCAAAGCAACATAAAATTATACTTTAGTCGGTAATCATGCAGTTTTCTCACAACAACCAGGAATTGCATCAACTCGGCATTTGTGTGTTGTTTAATAAAAAGCTTAAAAATGAATATAAGCTAATAGGTATGTATTTGATCGAAGTTTTGGGTCAAGCGATTACAGCGCTCCTAGTGGCCAAATTTTGCAGAATTCTTGTCCATTGTTATCACATAAATCACACCAAGTGTCGGGGTGGTTCAGTGATAGAAAGCTCGCCTACCGCGCGGGTGGCCCGGATATAGGGTTACCATCCGTCCGGTTTTGTCCGGACATGTCTGGACTTTTTGCCTTTTGTCCGGCTTTTTAATTTGTCCGGATTTTTTTATTAGTTGGATTATGAGTAAAACTACTTATTAAGTTATATCAAATAAGTCAAATAATATTTATTAAGTTCTCATTAATTGAAAACAAAATATAAATCATCTTTAAAAATCAACAACGAAACCCCCCTCGCTATGCGAGTGTCTGCTACCACGCGTATAATATCACTGTAACTAAGTGGGTGATGTTTGCAGTTCGTGACTAAAATGTCCGGACTTTTATCGATATGTCCGGCTTTTTGTCAGGGCTTTTAAATTTTTAAATAGAAACCCTACCCGGATACGAATCCCAGCCGAGGAAGGCCTTTTTTTACTAATGATTCCAAAAGTATCACTTGCTTCGTGGTTTTCTAAAACCACATCATTTTTTTGTAATTGCGTGTAACAGAATAATGATATCCATCACTTTTATAATTATTAGTAAGTAGGCTTTTTTCATAGAATTTCAGCACTCACCTCTTATATATCCTTCGTGTATTTGCACCTTCTCAACCCTAATGACCTTTCTAGGTAGCACAGACTCGGTTCTTTGGTAAAAATCCCCAACTACCACGTACAGGTTGGTATCGTTCGAGATGCCTTCGAATACGTGTGCTGCAGTGAGGACAGCCCTGTGATGAATCAACGAACCACCGCCCAAGTACTCGAATAGGACATTTTTGTCTTTTGCTGATTCTAACCTGATGGTGAAGAAACAAGTTAAGTGTTATAAAGCGTAGTGAAGGAAATCCTGTGTTGTAAAGTGCAGTAAAAATACTGAGTGTTGTAAAGTGCAATAAAAACTGAATATTGCAAAGTGCAGTAAATTTTAAACACCGTAAAGTGCAGTAAAAAATTGCGTGTTGTAAAGAACGGAAAAAAATACTGAGTGCTGTAAAGTGCAGTTAAAAGTGAGTTTTATAAAATGCAGTAAAAAATTTAGTGGCGTAAAGTGCAGTAAAAATGTGAGTGTTGTTAAAATCTGCAGTGAAGTAAGAGGTAAAAACTAACTAATTTGTTGATCCGGCGCGAAGAACTTATTACATGCTAGACATGCTATAGACATAAATAATTGACTTTTCAACACACTTGCTCAAAAACTGCATTTACGGATGTTGTATACATTGTTCGAAAGTTCATAATTACGACCCATCCAACGGAGCGTGCGGTAAAATATTTTACCGTACTTGGCACCTTGCGTATTTTTTATGGTTTCTTTTGTTTCGATCGAATATCCTTGGAAGCCTAATACAAAAAAAGTGTGTGCGTCTCGAGACGCACAACAGAAGTGAAGTTTAAGTTAAACCAATCTAAGCGGCTGCGGGTTAGAGTGAGAGAGAAGAAGTATCTACATCAGAAAGTTGTTAAACTAATTGAGCACTGGAGATTGGTCGGAGAAAAGGGAATTTAGGGTGAAAAGGGAATTGGAAGGTGTAAAGAGATTCGAAGGTGAAAAGGGGGATTGGAGGGTGAAAGGGATTCGAGGGTAATAGGGGGATTAGTGGGTGATAATAAGAGATTGGTGGGTGATAGTGGGGATTGATGGATGATTATAGGGGATTGGTGGGTGATCGTGGGGATCGGTAGGAAAAACTGGATTGGAGGGTGAAAAGGGATTGGAGAATGAAAAGGGGATTGGAGGGTGTAAAGGGGATTGGAGGATGTAAAGGGGATTAGAGGGTGAAAAGGGTTTTCGAGGGTGAAAATGGATTCTGGGAGCGAAAGTAAAACATAGAACGCGACAGCTGCGAAGTTTATCTGCGCATAACTAAAGTTAACATTACCTTTAGCACGAATCAATATCGAATTCGAATACTTTACGAGTCCGAAATGTTATTGTGTACAGATTTTTAGTTCTCGTTATATCCTTTGTCGCGCTGCTGTTCAAGTTTCGATACAAAATTTGACAATGCCATTTCGGGCTCGCATAGTATTCAAATTCGATATTAGTTTGTGCTAAGGGTACTGACACATTGTCCGTTATTTATTATTACTTATTAGTATTGCAAATGGTGCAAAAATGGTGGCCACAATTCCAACGCGTACAAAGCAATTTGGTGACTCATTTCTTTGTCACAATATCCGTAAATGGAATGCTCTGCCTGCTCACGTGTTCCCTCCTCCTTACAACCTGGGATCCTTTAAAAGAAGCGTGAACAGGCAACATGCAAGCCGGCAAGGTGAGGACGGCTGGTGTGGCAGGTAGAACTGATGTACCAGCTATCTTCACATTTGGACTTCACCATCACTTAACATCAGGTGGGGTGGAGTCATTTGTTGGACCTATCTATAAAGAAAAACACAGCAATTAATTTTCAAGTGACTTACCTCATAATGCTCACGACCCACGGGAACTCTCCCGGTCTCGCATGATCGTCTGTTAAACTGACATTCGAGTTAACTTGAATCCCGTTCTCATTTCTCCAGCCGCACCCTTGGCGGTCACTCGAGCGCGCCATCCTGACGTACTGTTGAGAATTATATAAAATAAAATTCCATGTCGGACTGGGAAAGTCGACGAAAAACGCTGGATTAAGACCTATGCCAGACGGATGTAATCCAGCGTACCAACCAAGGTGACCTTTCCCGTTGCCATCCATCTAGACGAAGGATGTAAACCAAATTTTGATTTGACCTTCAACGTCCTTGGATTACGGGTGCGTGATTACATCCGCGGTTGGAGCGCGTGGATTACAACCATTTGGCCGGCGGATTACATCCAACCAAAGACAGTTGCGCTGCTTGCGCTGTGGCAGTCAGCGGGTGCGCACGTATGCATGTAAAAAATGTCGTCCGAAGACCAGAGTCGCGAACGCGATATTACTATGGAACTATTTGATCTCTATAGAGATCTCCCATGCTTAGGTATAGGACATTACGTCGGAATCATATAAAGATTCTTGTCAAAAAAAATGCGTGGGAGATATTACTCGAAAAGATAGGGGTTGGACATAAGTTTGAATGGCTGAGAATCATTCGCTGTTGTAACCAACGCTTCATCCACATTCTCCTTTTTGTTGTCCGCACCCGCTGACTGCCACCGCGCAACTGTCCTTGGTTGTATGTAATCCGCCGGCCAAACGGTTGTAATCCACGCGCTCCAACCGCGGATGTAATCACGCGCCCGTAATCCAAGGACGTTGAAGGTCAAATCAAAATTTGGATTACATCCTTCGTCTAGATGGATGGCAACGGGCAAGGTCACCTTGGTTGGTACGCCGGATTACATCCGTCTGGAATAGGTCTTACATCCGTCTGGCATAGGTCTTACATCCGTCTGGCATAGGTCTTACATCCGTCTGGCATAGGTCTTACATCCGTCTGGCATAGGTCTTACATCCGTCTGGCATAGGTCTTACATTGGTCTGGCATAGGTCTTATAGCAAACTAGCGTTACATTTTTGCAGGATAAAATTATCGTGTGGTTCAATTTAGATCAATAACTACTACTACTGCTGATTTTTATCCAAATCAATTGAGCCGCTTTTTGCGCGATCGGAGTAACGAACATACAGACTTTCGCATTTATAATATGGATTACCGGTTGCTTGCGATTCAATAGCGTGGAAAATTGGTTTCCATAGAAAGTTTCATCCCCTTGTCTCCCCTCGTTAAAGATGAATTCTGGGAAAAAAACTATCCTTTATCCTTCCCCGGGCATTCAAATCATCAACTATACATCAAACTTACAGATAGTTTAACTTACAGAAAAGAAATTGGGTTTCTCTCGTGGGGTGTCATCACGATCATCTTCCTTATCGTTGGTTATTTGTAGGCAAGTCAATGGATAAGGGCAGGAGTCACTAATACTGCGAAATAAAAGAAAAGTACCAACTTACAGATTTATAATAATAAAGATGAGATGACAGGAGGAAGAAAAACAAGAGGTAATTGGAGTGATTCAATAAATCAATGGTGCAGAGGTTTGCGTTTTGTAACATGATAGTGTTTTGTTAGGAATTTAAAGTCTGAGTTGCAGCCACAGAATACAGAAAGAGTTTAGATTTTGCGTCAACACCAAGTTTTGGTCAAATTCTCACCATTTGCTCACACATAACTAAATGCTCAGCGCGGCTGACCCGCCACATGGCCCTACGAAGCTGTTTCTGTGTTCTTAGGTTAGGTTTGTGGGTAAGTTGATAATCTTCCACAATCCCATCGCACAGACTACATTCTTTTTAGGGTACCGTAACTCGAACGGAAAAAGCGGATACCCTTATAGGATCACTTTGTTGTCCGTCCGGCCGTCCGTCTGTCAGGGCCATTTTTCTCAGGAACGCGTGAAGGTATCAAGCTGAAATTTATATAAAATACTCAGGTCTCCTGTCCCTTGGAGCTGTGAAAAAATCAAACTGCTAAGCCAACGCAATCAAAGATACAGCCGTTTATATCGCAAATTTCGAAACTCGCAAGGGAATCAAGACCTACACCCTGTAGGTACACTACGTCCCGTGAACTCAGAATCTTGAAATTTGGTACGAAACAACGTCTTATAGCACAGATGAAGGAAAAATTGGGATAACCGTAAATTTTTAGTTGAATCACTCACAATTTAGACATTTTACCCTTTCCCTCATGAACGCGTAGAAGTTTGTACAGAACCTTCGTTGCTCGGGTCCAACTCGCACTTGGCCATTTTTTTATGTTTATGCAGGCAAACGAGCTGACAGTCTACCTGAGTATGGTATGAGAGAGAGTATGAGATGCTAAGAGGTCACTGCCGAGGTGCTGCCCATGGACACTAGCAGCACCAAGGGCACCACTCTTGCGTCGCCCGGCTCTGAAGTAAACGGTGACAATCCATAGAATCCATCGAACTCAGCTACCATTTGGGATATCAGGAGATCATCTGCAAGACCGTTAGCGTATGTTACCTTTAAAACTTACCCTGTTCTCGAGTCCAGTATGTAAGACCCGTCATCTACGACAGTGTCTGAGAGTAGTTTAGCTAAGTTACTGGGTACACATTCGCCAGGATTTCCATCGCTGGTCGTGCAGGCTATAGGGGGCGAGAAGTTGTCAATCACCAGCTGCGAACTTTGGTTACCAGCCTGGGACTGGTAAAGAAAGAAAGAAATAATAGTTATGTTTTTTTAAGCATTTAACTGCTAGATGTTTAAATCTATAAAAAAATTACTAGAAAAAAATCCACGCGGACCAGGCAGCTTTTTTTTCTAGTAAAACTTTTCTTTAGATTTAAATAATAGTTATTTATGATATAAGTGCGGTAAGTTGGTTATTACAAACGAGTAGACTAAGTCGAGGGTTTACCATGGTCACGAATTTGTAAATACCAATCCTCGCCAATGTCATACAACGTTTTTCAACACATTTGCGAAAAAATAGTACGTTAGAAACGTTTCTAATAAGAAAATGGTGCATTTCCAAATGGCGCAACGTGCGGATGGTGAAAATTAGAACTATATCACGTATTAAAGTGTGACCAGACCCGTCTTTCTCAGTGAGCACATTGGGTAAGTGCCCAGGGCCCCGCGATCGATAGGGGGCCCCCTCAGATCCAATACAAAGTCCCTAGTTCCTGTTCAATCACCAAACGGAAGTCATAGGGGCCCCATTATCCTAATATGCCCAGGGCCTTCAATAGGTCAAAGACGGCACTGAGTGTGACAAAGGTATAGATAAAAAACGCCTCCATGGAGATTCGACGGAAATTAAACAAAAAACTGTAAAGGATACGCACGGCGCCCTGTATGGAAGCATGCGGTTAAACGTTTTATCGCACGCTCCGTTATGTGGCCCGTAATTTTCAACTTTCGAACAATGTATACAATCTCCGAAATGCATTTTTTAACAAATGTGTTGAAAAATATAATATTTTGGCTACTGTAGGACTAAGTGTCGCCGCTCACGGGCCACACGCCACAGCCACAAACGCGGCCACGAGAAGCTAGAAGCGGCTACTAAAGTGGCTGAAGCGCGCGACAGCGGCCGACTAAGGTAAGGGAGAGAGGGGTGGGGAATCGCGCTAGTCACGTGTGGCGGCGTTTTGTATCGGCGCATTAATGGCCGGTGCGGGCCACAAGAAGCGAGCAACGACGATTTGTAGCGTGTGGCGGCCACCGGCGTACCGTGTGTGGCGAGTCCATATAAAATGTATGAAAACTACAAGAAATATGCCGGTGGCGGCGTGTTGTGGTCGGTAGCCCGTGCGCGGCGACACTAAATCACAAACAAAATAGAGCATTAATATAAAAAAGGTGTTACAGTGGCAAAAAGGCCATGATACAGAATGCCATGATGCTGGTTTTCAGCTTGAGGCCAAAGCAAAACTTTGCAAAGACATTACACTTTAAACGGGGCTTACAAAATAATGGTAGATCTGGTGAAACGGCAAAGAAAATAGATGTACTTATTGCCTAGGGTGCGAGGGCCAGGCCCTCCCTACGTTACGCTAGGCAAATTTTGCCGAAACCCTAACCTTTAAAAACGATCACACTAATATTATAAAGACGAAAGTTTGTAAATGTGTGTGTGTGTGTGTATGTTTGTTACTTCTTCACGTCTAAACGGCTGGAACGATTTTAATAAAATTTGGTATGGAGTTAGCCTGCGGGAAAATAACCCTAATAAAGCGCGATTAACACCGCGAGGCACAGCTAGTGATAAATAAAAATGAAATAAAAGTAAAAACAAAACACTTTTTTAATAACGAGCTTTTTAATTTTTATTTTTTAAAGCATATAACTGCTTGATGTTTAAATCCAAAGAAAATATGACTAGAAAAAAATTCCAAGTGGACCAGGCAGCAGACGGGACTCGAACCAATTGACATTGTGGGTTATCTATAATGCGAAGAGATGGCGCTGCCTTGCAGCTCAAGAATGGCTAGAGAAATTTCGACGCGGTCCGTGAGGGCCGTGGTAGCATAATTGGTCAGTGCATTCGCCCGGATTGCGAACGGTGCGGGTTCGAGTCCCGTCTGCTGCCTGGTCCGCGTGGAAATTGTTTCTAGTTATATTTTCTTTAAACGCGCTTTTATTTAAATGCGATACAAAACAAAATTTTCCTTACAATTTTTACTAGCAATTTATAACGTCATTACACAATTTATAGGTTTAATATAAAAGCTTGAGGCCGAATGGAATATTTTATTGTTATATTTTCTTCATATTTTATTAAGATTTAAACATTATTTTTAATCAGTTAAATGCTTAAAAATAAAATGTATAATAATCACAGAACACAGAAAGAGGTTAGAACAGCTTTGTGGGCGGGACAGGCGCGCCACAGTTATATGAGAGCAAATGCTCATAATTTGACCAAAACAAGGTTATAATTTTTATTATTTTTAAAGCATGTAACTGCTTGATGTTTAAATCTAAAGAAAATATAACTAGAAAAAAATCCACGCGGACCAGGCAGCAGACGGGACTCGAACCCGCACCCTTCGCAATCCGGGCGAATGCACTGACCAATTATGCTACCGCGGCCCTCACGGACCACGTCGAAATTCTTGCTAGCTATTCTTAAGCTGCAAGGCAGCGCCATCTCTTCGCATTATAGGTAAACCCACAATGTCAATTGAATACTTTTACAAGTATTAAACATTTGAAAGAAGAAATAGCAATTATAGTTATAATTTTTATTATTTTTAAAGCATGTAACTGCTTGATGTTTAAATCTAAAGAAAATATAACTAGAAAAAAATCCACGCGGACCAGGCAGCAGACGGGACTCGAACCCGCACCCTTCGCAATCCGGGCGAATGCACTGACCAATTATGCTACCGCGGCCCTCACGCTGCCTTGCAGCTTAAGAATAGCTAGAAAGAATTTCGACGCGGTCCGTGAGGGCCGCGGTAGCATAATTGGTCAGTGCATTCGCCCGGATTGCGAAGGGTGCGGGTTCGAGTCCCGTCTGCTGCCTGGTCCGCGTGGATTTTTTTCTAGTTATATTTTCTTTAGATTTAAACATCAAGCAGTTACATGCTTTAAAAATAATAAAAATTATAACTATAATTGCTATTTCTTCTTTCAAATGTTTAATACTTGTAAAAGTATTCATTTGACATTGTGGGTTTACCTATAATGCGAAGAGATGGCGCTGCCTTGCAGCTTAAGAATAGCTAGAAAGAATTTCGACGCGGTCCGTGAGGGCCGCGGTAGCATAATTGGTCAGTGCATTCGCCCGGATTGCGAAGGGTGCGGGTTCGAGTCCCGTCTGCTGCCTGGTCCGCGTGGATTTTTTTCTAGTTATATTTTCTTTAGATTTAAACATCAAGCAGTTACATGCTTTAAAAATAATAAAAATTATAACTATAATTGCTATTTCTTCTTTCAAATGTTTAATACTTGTAAAAGTATTCATTTGACATTGTGGGTTTACCTATAATGCGAAGAGATGGCGCTGCCTTGCAGCTTAAGAATAGCTAGAAAGAATTTCGACGCGGTCCGTGAGGGCCGCGGTAGCATAATTGGTCAGTGCATTCGCCCGGATTGCGAAGGGTGCGGGTTCGAGTCCCGTCTGCTGCCTGGTCCGCGTGGATTTTTTTCCAAAACAAGGTTCTTATTGCATGGTTGCTCTCAGATGTGAGCGCCGATTGGTTAGATTGTTTGATGTTGCGTCATTTGATTAATTGGAAGTGTAGTGGGGTCGAGCCGGCGACATCGGCTCCCATACAAACAACGGTTTAGAATAATCAATAATCAGAATCATTTGTTCTGTTTAGGCTGTTACAAGCACTCATGAATGTCTACAAGCTATTCCATCGGTTCGTAAATCTACGGCGGGAGACCTTGTACTGAGAAGAACCGGCAAGAAACTCAGCAAGGGCTGCTTTTTTCTCTCTGTATTAATATATACAGAGTCGTCAAGTTGAAAAATGACTTCAGAGATGATTCATGAAGTCACCTTTCATTACATAATGATTAAATATACATTAATTGTTTACCTGCATTTTGATTGCTGTGCCATGTGCAGTATAAATACAAAAGATTATCAGGAAGTTAGGGCAGACTCATATCCGCTGGCAGAATCCGTTCACGAGCATGACGCATGAACCAGCCATCGCTTCGCTCAACCATATTTTAGGGAACGTAACGTCCCGCCTCATACGACACCGCCGAAGAGACTATTATGAGAGCATGACTACCCATAACTACCCATACTAACTACAACATATTTACTTAAATTAAGGTCATTTAACAATTATAAAAACAAAGCAATGGAGAAATCACGGCCACGCCGTTTTGTCAATCAAATATTTTTAAACAGTCTGATAATCTTCCTTAAGTTATCAACTTTATATACAGCTTTCAAATTTAATTATAGTATTGTCAACACATAATTCATAATATACTCGTATATCTTAAAGAAATACCCGTTGGAATGGTTGGAACAGTTCATACCCAAGCATTTTTGTCTGTAATATAATCAGACACTATAATAAACTTTCTTAACAAGTGATATTATAATGGTCGATTTAAATTTAGTCAAGCTTAATTCTTGAATATTGCTTGGAACTTTATTGTAAAAGCGAACACAAAGACCTCTAAACGAATTATTGATTTTGTGGAGCCTAGTAGCAGGTAAAGTTAAATTATTTTTACTTCTAGGTTTATGTGTATGTATTTCACTATTTTTAGTAAATAAATTAATATTTTTTTTACAAACAGTAAGTTGTCATATATGTATTGTGATGTAACCGTCAATATGCCTATTTCTTTAAACTTATCTCTTAAAGAATCGCTAACTTTAAGATTATAAATTGATCGAATAGCCCTCTTGTGCGGCAAAAATATAGTTTGAATGTCGGCGGCATTTCCCCACAGTAAAATACCGTAAGACATTACATTATGAAAATGACTAAAGTAACGGATATAGAAACTGAAAAGATTAGTCATCTTTTCAGTTTCTATATCCGTTAACTGCAGTATTTCATTACAGCATATGCTGCAGAACTAAGTCTCTTCGACAATCCATCAATATGTGGGCCCCACTGCAGCTTAGAATCTAGTGTGATTCCTAAGAACACTGTGGTATCTACAAGGCTCATATGTCGTTCCTTTATATTTACATTGGTTTTTATTTGTTTGACATTAGGTAATACAAATTTTAAACACTTAGTTTTTTCTTCACTTAGCATCAAATTATTAACATTGAACCAGTGGACTACCTTCGAAATAGACCTGTTCACGTCGTCAATTTGTGACTGCCTTCATTTAATTTTAACAAAAGTGAAGTGTTATCCGCAAACAATACTATTTCGTGGTTACCCTTTACAAAATAGGGCAAGTCATTGATATAAATTAACAATAAGAAAGGACCAAGGATTGAGCCCTGCGGAACTCCCAACTTAACCGACGAACCAGGAGATTTTACTCCATTGATGTCAACCCTCTGAAATAGGGTTCAGCGAGATACTAGAGTGATAGCACTCAAATAAGATACAATAAGATCCAGAGTAGTATCTCTAAATCCATAGTGGTGAAGTTTCCTGATCAATGTTTCATGAAAAACGCAATCAAAAGCCTTCGATAAGTCGCAAAATACACCTAATGCATCATGCGAGTTCTCCCAGGCTACCCGATTTATGTAATGGAGTTATTGTACTGTGTTTCATTAGATCAGGAAAAACACCACAGCCAACACATCTATTAAAAATGCTAGCTAGAATAAGACCCTTCAAACTTCTTTCTGTATTCTGTGATAATAATCAACAATTGATATATCTTCTTTCAAATGTAAAAGTCCTTCCTTCTATTGTAAAGGTATTTACATAGATTGACATTGTGGGTTACCCATAAATCCACAATGCGAATAGATGGCGCTACCTTGCAGCCTAACGAAATATTCGAAGAAATTCGACAAGGCCATTAAGGTCGCGGTACAAAAATTGGTTTTGTACCTAGTAAATATATTTTTAGATGATACTTACAGGATGAAATCCGTCTCTTCGAGTATCATTTCCAGCCACCTTGCAGCACACCATCGGCAGGGGGCAGGTAGTGTCGTCTCTGCGTAACACACATAATGAACTTAGTAATAAATCCTGTACAGTGGACTGGGAGCGAAAGGAATACATAGCACGCGCCAAGTGTTAAGTTTCTCATGCAGATGGAATAAGGATATCAGAGAGAGATAGAGAGAACCATTTTATTGACCAATAAAAACACAAACATATAATTATAAACTGCTAAAATAATAACATATAAATAAAGTATGCATCACAAACATTGATAAACCAAACCACGGTAATATAATATTACCGTGACCAAACAGTTATAATATTGGTCAATCAGGACTAGTGTTGCCAGGTGTCCCCATTTGCGCGGAAGTCTCGATCCCGATTAATTAAAAAATGATATTTAAATAAAACTAGTTTTAACGGGTTAATGCACGAAACTTTATTTATTTATTGACGTTTCGCAGCCTTTTCAGGTCTAACAATATCAATGGGTAGTATACTTCGATCATAGATCGAAGGCAAAAGCTGCATTCTTTAATTGCGTCTGATCAAACTTTTAAGTCTGAATCGTTCGTTTATTACATCTAGAGTAAATTGTTTTAAACTTTTATGGACACTAACACTATAACTATTAGCGGGATTGTTACCATGTACCTTGTTTTTATGAGTCTCCGCTCCGATATTTCGGCACTGTTGCAAGCGCCATGATCGCGGAGTAGCTGCTCACTGAGCGCTTGTTATCTGTACCCCTAGCACGAACCATTATCGAATTCGAATAGTTTGCAAACCGAAATGTCAAATTTTGTATGGAAACTTGAACAGCAGCGGACGTAACTGGAACTAAAAATCAGTACACATTTGACAATGACATTTCAGACTCGCAAACGTTACGAATTCGATATTGGTTCGTGCTAGGGGTACCGAACGTACTAAAACGCGTGTCAAAATTTTGCCATCTGAACATGGCCTTAAGGTACGACAAAAAAAATGTAAAAGCGACCGACTCGCTTGCGCTCGACTACGGTCGGCGCTCGCTCATTTGCGAAATGTAAAAAGCCTAACAAAAGCCGGACAAGCTGGACACTGTTTATTTTGGCTGGACTCGCAATCAAAAAGCCTTACTATGTCCGGCTTTATCTGGACGCCTGGCAACGCTACGCCCAGGGTTGCGAGGTCTCCCGATTTTACAGGAGATCTCCTGTTTTTCAGGATTTTTCCTGTTCTTCTGTTTTTCCATATGAATCTACTGTTTTTGTTAGAATACGAATTTCTTTTTTAAATTGCATGTTGCGTTTTCGTTCATTAAGAATCTAGGTAATATATTTGTTTCTTAGGTTTTCACGCACATCACTCATTAAATAAAACTAGTTTTAACGGGATAATGCACGAACTTTATTTATTTATTGACGTTTCGCAGCCTTTTCAGGTCTGCATCGTCAGAATAATGATTTTTTATTTACTTTGTCGAGCTACCTTCTTTTTTTGAGCGTTCGGATATTTCATTGGAAGATTTTTAAAATGTTATTCATACATAGACAATGATGCAGACATGAAAATGCTGCGGAACGTCAATAAATAAATAAAGTTCGTGCATTATCCCGTTAAAATTAGTTTTATTTAATGTAGGTAATCTTAATTATTAATATATTATTGCCAAAAAAAGGAGCTTTGTGGGGTGGCAGAAGCCGCAGAAACACATTCGTTACTGGCCTATATTTTGATTGGATTTCCAATTCCAGCATATCGGAAAAGTAAAGTAAAAAAATAAAGTACGCATCTACTGATTTTTTAAAATTGGCAACACTGGCTACGTCAGACGATAACTTGCACGGTTCCCAACTTAGGGGTTTTGCCCCCAGATTTAGGGGCTAGAAGTTTTAAAACGGACTTTTTAGGGGCTGGAATTTTTTGGTGTTTCTTTTAGGGGCTTTTATCAAAACTTGCAATTAAATCGCAAAACAAAGCGTGTGTTTTCTTTCAGTTTTGTGCGTAAAATGGAACGCACGACGATATGAAACGACTGAACTGACTGTGTGATGGGTTGTTTCATAAGGCTGTATGGACTAAAGTTAAAAACAGGTAAATAAGATTTAACAGCCTGGCAGCTCATTTTCGTTTGATTGCCCTTTCGGAAACTGTATTTATTCAATAAAATAATTTACTGTAACTAATTAGGTAACGTTTTAATTTATGAGCAACGAAAGAAATTGGGTAATGAGTAGGTACTTAAAAAAATGTATATTTAGGGGATTTTAGGGGAATTTAAAAAATACTTAGGGGTAAATTTTGGTAAGGGTTGGTAACACTGATAACTTGACTGACACCACACGAAGGTTGTGTGTGCAGCTGAAGGAGCATTGTTACGATGGAACTATAATCGAACGATAATTTTCGAGCAATCAAAAAAGGTGATGGCTGAAAATACAACATTTTGCTTTCTGCAACATACATACAGGTATTTATGGCTGATTTCTTGTATCTTCTTGAAGTGAAACTTCTTTAAGCACGCTTGACTTGGGGGGTAAATTGGCGAATGTGTTACGATTTTTGCGTTTGCCGGTGACACATCGGTAAACAATGAACAATACCCGTTACAAAATACATGAATAGTTCATAAATCAAAATACTAGTGCTTGGTGGATGATAACGGACCCAGCGCGGATTGGTGGGTGATAAAGGACCCAGTGTGGATTGGTGGGTGATAACGGACCCAGTGCGGATTGGTGGGTGACAATGTACCCAGCGAGGATTGGAGGGTGATAACGGACCCAGCGCGGATTGAAGGGTGATAACGGACCCAGCACAGCGCGGAATGGTGGTTTTTTTTCTATCAACAAATCTTCAGGTTAAGTTTATGATTTTCAGATCAGTGGAGTTAAAAGAGGTTTCACTTCAGTCGCGTGGTCATAAGTTCACACGTTTTTTTATTGTGTTACTATAAAATTTATATGTACGTTTGTAAGAAATAATAAACGTATTATCTATATACCAAAGCTTCGTCGCACAGGCGTGGGAGAAGTATTATTCTTTTGTTTTCTTAATGCTTAAAATTTGCTTACTTATTAAATCTGACGTCAATAACATTGGAGCCGTCTTCTACTACAGTGTTGGTGTGACGGTCGCAAAGATAATTCTGCACACATTCACCCACTTGTCCATCCGTGGTGTTGCACGTACCTGGAAGTCCTGGAACACAACATCATCATCAGGGCGCGATTACATGTGGTCGTAAGCCCAAATACGAGTGCCAATGGAATTCGGCTAAACGACAAAGTGTACAATGCGATTCAACTAAGAATAGGACCGACTGGGCGCCATATTGTGATGTCATAGCTGTCAATTCAAACCAAATAGGTAAGGTGAGCAAAAAAAAGTTTTTATCTAATCATCCATCCATCCATCAGCCTTTTTCCGTCCACTGCTGGACATAGGCCTCCCCCATAGAACGCCACAATGCGCGGTCCTGCGCTATCCGCATCCAGCGGCTCCCAGCACATTTGACGATGTCGTCAGTCCACCGTGTTGGGGGCCGCCCCACGCTGCGTCGTCCGGTACGTGGTCGCCACTCGAGGACCTTTCTTACCCAACGGTTGTCAGGTCCTCGAGCGATGTGGCCTGCCCATTGCCACTTCAGCGTGCTAACTCTTCGGGCTATGTCGTACACACCGGTCCTTCTACGGATCTCCGTATTCCGGATCTTATCACGTAGGGAAACACCGAGCATAGCCCTCTCCATAGCACGCTGCGCGACTTTGAGTTTTGTCATGAGGCCGACATTCAGAGACCACGTCTCAGTCCCATAAGTTATCACTGGTAACACACACTGGTCATAGACCTTTCTTTTCAGGCACTGGGGAATTTTGGCCGTGAGGATATGCCTAAGCTTCCCGAACGCTGCCCATCCGAGTTGGATTCGTCGGTTGACCTCTTTCTCGAAGTTGGATTTGCCCAACTGGACTGTTTGTCCTAGGTAGACGTAATGATCGACAACTTCGAGAATCGCATTCCCAACAGATACTGGTGCTGGAGTGACATGGACATTGAACATGACCTTGGTTTTATCCATGTTCATCCTTAAACCAACCCGTTGGGAAACTCTGCTGAGGTCATTGAGCATTGTGCCAAGGTCCTCCAGGGATTCTGCCATAACCACGATATCGTCTGCAAATCGAAGGTGAGTGATGTATTCGCCGTTGATGTTGATGCCGAGTTCGGTCCAATCCAGAAGCTTGAAGACGTCTTCCAATGCAGCGGTGAACAGTTTCGGGGAAATTACGTCACCCTGTCTGACACCCTTCTGCAATGGAATCGGCCTCGTACTTCTCTCCTGGATTCGGACTGACATAGTGGCGTTTCTATACAAACACTTCAACACTTCGATATATCGATAGTCAATTTGGCACCGCTGGAGGGACTGCAGCACCGCCCAAGTCTCGACCGAATCGAAGGCCTTCTCATAGTCCACATACGCTAGACACAGAGGCCGATTATACTCCTCGGTCTTCTGTATGATCTGGCGCAGCGTATGTATGTGGTCCATGGTACTAAAGCCCTTTCGGAAACCGGCTTGTTCGGGAGGCTGGAAGTCGTCGAACCTGCGCGAAAGTCGATTTGTAATGACTCTCGAAAACAACTTATAGACGTGGCTCAAGAGCGAGATAGGTCGATAGTTCTTCAAGCGGGTTTTATCGCCTTTCTTGAAGAACAATACCACCACGCTCCTGGTCCACGCCTCTGGAACAATGCCCCCGAGGATGACAGAGTCGAATAGCTTCTGAAGGGCCACGAGGACCGGCTTACCGCCCGCCTTCAGAAGCTCCGTAGTGATTCCGTCATCGCCCGGTGCTTTACTGTTTTTAAGCTGCTTGAGAGCCATTCTGATCTCGTACAGGCTGACATCCGGGATGTCCTCGGTATAGTGTCGGGTTAGCTTGGATCGTGGATCTTGGACCAAGCCGACAACAGGAGTTTGGGATGTTTTATACAACTGTCCATAGAACAGCTCGACCTCGCTCAAGATCTCATCTTTGGAAGAAATGACAGTGCCGTTGTCGGTCTTCAGTCTGGTCAACTGAGTCTGCCCAGCAGACAGATCTTTTGCGAACACTTTGGAGCCTTGGTTCCGCTCTATCGCCTCTTTAATACGCTTGGTATTGTAGAGTCGAATATCGCGTCGCACAGACTTCGAGATCTGTCTATTTAGCTGCCTCATCTTAGACCAGGAGGCTGGAGACTGCACCGTCATTTCCCTCCTCCACTCCATGAGCTCAAGAGTGTGGTCAGAGAGTTTTCCGGTTCTAGGAGCACGGCGGGTCCTGAAAAATTTTGACCCAACCGTGTGTACAGTTTCCACAAACTTGTTGCTCATATCGTTCGCCGTTTCGCACTCGTCTAGGCATTGGAAGCGATTTTGGAGTTCGAGTCGAAAGCTCTCGGGATTTTCGTACTCGGCAGGTGTGGGACGTAGAGTAGACTTCATCAGTCGGGACCGCTCGGCTTTGACACGAATATTCAATGTGCCTCGTAACATTCGGTGATCGCTCCCGGTTTTCACCCTGTTGATCACTGAGACATCATTGAATATTTGCCGTTTGTCTGACAAGATAAAGTCTATCTCGTTCCGTGTCGAACCATTAGGGCTTATCCAGGTCCATTTCCTTTGTTGCGACTTTTTGAAGAAGGAATTCATCATATAGAGATTTTCTCTCTCCAAAAAATCAGCCAACTTCTGCCCTCTCTGGTTTCTCTGGCCGAATCCGAATTGCCCTACTCTCAACTCACCGCTTTTCCTTTTTCCTAGTTTCGCGTTAAAGTCTCCCATAACCACAGTGAAGTGAGTTTTGAATAAGCGGATGGCTTTCGAGATATCCTCGTAGAGAGTCTCCACCTCATTGTCGGGGTGCGTCGAGGTCGGCGCGTAGACCTGGATGACCTTCAGCGAATACCGTTTGGTTATTCTGAGTATCAGGCACGCTACCCGACTCGACACACTCTCAATCCTCTCCACGTTGGCTGCGAGAGACTTACGAACGATAAACCCGACACCGCCCTGCGACAAGTCGTCGCCTTCCCGGTGATAGAGCAAGTTTCCAGACCGGAGGGTTATCGTGTCCTCCCCCTGTCTTCGGACTTCTGACAACCCTACAATGTCCCACCGAATCTTGCTCAATTCCTCTTCCAGCTCGGCAATCCTCTCGTCAGTCCTGAGCGTGCGAATGTTGTGTGTTACCAGGGCCAGAGTCTGTTTTATTTGGTGGCCGGATCTCGACCGGAGATTCTTCGCACCCCGTACCCCGCCGTTACCAGGCCCGCCACCGTGAGCCGGAATAGCGGGGTCGCCGTGACTCGGGGCCGTTGTGTTTATGCCTTTTTCCATTTGGGGGGTTATTGCCATAATCACCACGCTTGGCAGGCGGGTTGGCGATCGCAGTAGATGTAATGTTTACTCAGGAGAACGCTGCTGCCCGTTCTCCTGGCGATCCCTTAGTCGCCTTTTACGACACCCACGGGAAGAGATGGGGAGGTGCAATATTCTATGCCGGCACCCCACGGCAATTTATCTAATAAAACTTATTTACTAAGATTAAGTGATAAAAAGCATCAGATTTTTTTGAATAACATTTATTTACTAAGATTGAGAAAAAAACCCACCGTTTTTAATAATATTTATTTATTAAGACTATGAGAAAAAACATTAATCAGAATCTAGCTCTTCTATTCCGCTCATCTCAGCATTACCGCCGGAGTAGTTATGAATAATCATGCACTATTAATAGGTCACATACAGGATACAGGAAAGTTTAAAATCGAGTTTCTGAACGCAACTTAAAGTGACATTTGGTTGACGATTTAGGTTATGAACCATTCATGGCCAAAGCTCCCGAATCGATGATTGCAATGCACTGCCACCATCATTACCTCACTGTGGCACAACGATGCCTGATATTAAAATCAGGCAGCGTGAGGTTCGTGCCGAATTGCAATCACTCGACGTCCGGAAAGCTAGTGGACCTGATGGCATCCCAGCAGTAGTACTTAAAAAATGTGCAGCGGAGTTGTCTCCCGTGCTCACGCGCTTGTACCAATGCTCGTATTCTTTGGGGCGTGTGCCGGAGACTTGGAGAGATGCTAACGTGCAACCGGTGCCCAAAAAAGGGGATCGCTCAGACCCGGCAAACTATCGGCCAATAGCAGTCACCTCAGTTTTATGTAAAGTTCTAGAAAAGGTCCTTAATAACCATCTGACCCGCTACCTAGAGGATCACTCCCTGATTAATGATCGTCAATATGGATTTAGACCAAAACGATCGACGGGTGATCTTCTAGCGTACTTAACTCATATCTGGGGTGAGGCTATCGACAAGCGTGGCGAGTCGTTGGCTATCAGCCTTGACATTGCCAAGGCGTTCGACAGGGTCTGGCACAAAAGCCTTCTCTCCAAGCTTCGGCATACGGTCTGCCAGCCCAGTTCTGTTCTTGGGTAGCTGACTTCCTGCATGAGCGTAGAATTCGTGTCCTTACGGATGGTAGCAGTTCGCGGTTCATGTCAGTGAATGCCGGCGTTCCCCAGGGCTCCGTCCTATCCCCCACTCTCTTTCTGCTGCATATCAATGACTTGATTCCTCTTGGGAATATTCATTGCTATGCCAGACGATAGTACAGTGCATGCGGGGTATCTCGGACAAGCAGCGGCTGGGCAGGCAGTAACCAGGGAGAAACGGGAAAATCTTGTCATTGAACTCAATCAGGCTTTGGACCACATTTCCGAATGGGGTACCAGGAACTTGGTTGGGTTCAATGCCAAGAAAACTCAGGCTTGCGCTTTCACGGCAAAAACATCGCCATTCCTTCCCCTTCCATCTCTTCAGGGCACAACACTACCGCTGCAGAGCAACATTTCCATGCTCGGTATGGAAGTTCGCTCAGACCTGAATCCAAAGGACTACATCGAAACCGTGATCAAAACAGCTTCACGCAAACTCGGAGTCCTGAACAAGGTGCGGCGTTTTTTCACGCCCGATCAACTCTGCTTGTTGTACAAAACGCAAGTGCGGTCCTGCGTGGAATATTGTTCGCACCTCTGGGATGGCTCCGCCAAGTACTTGCTCGATGCTTTGGATAGGTTACAGCGGCGCGCGATCCGCATCATAGGCGATGAGGAGGTGACTAAACACCTTGAGCCTCTTCAATTACGCCGTGACGTAGCGTCACTAAGCGCGTTCTATCGTTTGTACCACGGCGAGTGTTCTGAGGAGTTATTCTCTCTTATCCCACGTTGTCACCGTCTTACTGTGGCCACAATTCCAACGCGTACAAAGAAATTTGGTGACTCATTTCTTTGTCGCACTATCCGTAAATGGAATGCTCTGCCCGCTCACGTGTTCCCTCCCTCTTACAACCTGGGATCCTTTAAAAGAGGCGTGAAGAAGCAACATGCAGGCCGGCAGGGTGAGGATGGCTGGTGTGGCAGGTAGAACTGCTGTATCAGCTATCTTCGCGTCTGGACTTCACCTTCACTTAACATCAGGTGGGGCGGAGTCATTTGTCGGACCTAACTATAAAAAAAAAATAAAAAATAAAAAAAAAGCTCAATAAGTGCAAAAAATATCAACCTCTATTAATTATCAATATTTGTTATTGTTTGTTTACAAATATTTGGTTTTTATTCTTGAATTAGCGGAGTGCTGAAAAAGGGTTCCAAGATTGTTTTTGCAAACTTTACTTTTCAAGCGACATTTGACAGATAGAGGTCATTGGCTTTCCTATTCCTATTTGATTCGCATTATTAATGAACGGAGTTGAGTACGCCCGTATTTGGGTAGATTTCCTTTTGTTTTCCGACACTGTCTTCATGACCGTATTCCAGTGTAAATATTGCTTCGGGTGCCCGAATTCGAGTAATGTCGTTCGTGCACCTGAATACGGGCTAACTAACAACCAAATGTAATGATGGCTATCGCGTATGAATCCGCCGCTAGAGACGCTTGTGTAGCGTGAGGTCCCCGAAATGTCAAATGTCATTGCTTGTAGGTTGACTACAGTGTCCGGCACGTAAGTTGAACCCAAATTTTAGTTTTCAGCGCATGTTTTTTCGCAGAAAAACATCATAGGCACTAAAGAATTTTTACAATAAAATATCTAAAATAGCACAGCAACTGTTTTGTTAAAAAACATTTAGTTTTGTGACGTTTTTCTGTGAAAAAACATGCGCTGAAAACTAAAAATTGGGTTCAACTTACGTGCCGGGCACTATACGCGGGTTTACTTCTAATTAAAATAATGTCCTGAATATTTGGCAATAACTCAGACTTAGATTATAGCAAATATGAGCTACGTGTCAATGTCTGTCAGATATTTAAAAGCGGAGCTAAGAAAAAATATTATTTCCTCCTTTTTTCAACATAAATTTGAAAATATTGATTTCATGAGATGAGCGTGTTGACAAAATTTAAAAGCTACACTTCAGGACCTCACTCAACAGTGGCGCCATCTGTACCCCTAGCACGAACCATTATCGAATTCAACAGCAGCGGCACAAAGTACGTAACGAGAACTAAAAATCAGTACACATTTGACAATGACATTTCGGACTCGCAAACGATGAGACTAAAAACGGTAGGCCCCTTTGCGCCATCAGATGTGGCGGCGACATCTACATGCACATTTAATTAAAGAAGCAATACTTGACGCTCCATCACAACAGGTGGCGCTAACGGTGCACTCATACCTCCTTATTAATAAACGAGGAATAAGCTTAGACTAGTTACGCCGTATTTTGTACATTTCACTCAAATTACATTTGGCATTCAATAAACACAGACCAAACATGCAGTAACTGATCCAAGATTATTCTTCATTTATTAATATGGGGGATAAAATATGAGAAGCCTACATCGCGCAAGAGAAATTCGGAGGCAAACACTTATAAACAATGCCCAACGAATATCAGTCGTCGGGGGATGGACCGCACTACGTCGTCGCGTATGGATCTCCGACTACCCTCAAATGCTCCGTCATAAAGTGTCCTTTATTGCTCGCGAGCACTGCCTGGCGCCTCCGCGCCAGCGTAGATCACCGCGCCACCTAGCCGCAGGCCTTGAGCGCGCCACCCGGCGCCGCTCGGCCAAGAGATCGCGCAGACGTTAGCCCTCACTACGCAGCAAGATGTCCATGTACCAGATGCCAATCCCCAGCTGGGCCCAAGCCAAAGCCCTGTTCGCGGCCAAAATGAGCCCCTAGGCATCGCTAAGAGGCCAATATGAATTGGACGTAGCGATGTCGTGGCGGCTCATCGAATCCGGCCTACTCACGAACGGGATGAAGAAGTGGCTGTTCGTATACGTCCGCCTACTTGAAGAGGACGCCAGCACAAGCACAAACTACGGCCCCAACGACCTCGAATGCATGAACGCGAGCCGTATCGCCAACCTGGAGCCACTCACACTCCCGCTGCCAAGCTCGCTTTACTTCAAGCCTATCCAGGATGAGCTGGAAGAGAGACGCCCCCGCGCAGCATACTCGCGCGCCTCGCGTCTCCACCGGTCACGCAGCACTGGCGATTCCCCTGCCCCCTAGCAGGCACCCCTACCTATTAAGGTAACTACCCGACCCACAAGACGACCTACCACCGCAAGACGACGCCGCTCCACAAGACGATCTGCCCTCGCAAGACGAAGACACCGCCCCCGCCGCATCAGAACAGACGCAGACTGCTTTACCGACGCAGTCTGCGAGCTACGCAGAGGCAGCGAAAAGTTTCGCGCCTACCCCCACCGAAGCCGAAATATCTGCCCCCACCACCGCACCACCCATTGCCGTGTCGGCCGCGCAACCGGCCTCCTGCGGCGCTCTGACGACCCAACGGGCATGTAAATGCCCGCCGATTGTGGTCGAGCAGCTGCCGGACTGGCCGACGCACATGCGCGCCCTCCACGGCAAGCTCGGCCGACCGCCAAGCGCGCGCCCGTTTGGCGCGGGTGTGCGCTTCCTACCCACGGGTGAAGACGAGAGCCGTACCATCACCAGGTACCTCTCCAACCTCAAGGTGAGCGGGCTGAGCTGGTACTCGCACGCTCGCCCCGAGGACCGTAGCCTCAAGGTGGCCATCCGAGGCCTGCCTTTGGACACCAAGCCGCACGACATCGCCGAGGTCCTCGCAGAGAAGGGCTTCACCGCATCACATATAAGACAGATCGGGGCGCGAGCAGGCCGCCTCGGCTGTCTATACTACGCCGCACTCGACCGCACTCCAGACACCATCCCGGCCATATACTCAGTGAGTGAAATCCTGAGCATGACCGGGATCCGCGCCAAGGGGCTGCCAGGGGTTCCGCCACTCCAGCCAAGAGCCAAGGCTGTCACCGCGCGCTTGATTGCGTGCGCTGCGGTGACCCGCACGCCGCCGCCGATTGCCCTCGCCCGCTCGCGCAACCCGCGACATGCGCGAACTGCACGGGCGCGCACCCGCGAACCATAGCGCGTGCCCCGCGCTATTGCGCGAGGCGCGAAACCGACGCGCCACGACAGTGGCCCGCACAGGCCGCTTTCAAACTGAGCCAGTCCAGCAGCCCAGCGAGGTGAGCGAGCACGCGCCGGTCACGTTAATGGCCCCCGCGAACGCTCCTCCCTCGCACACCAGCCGCACCAAACGCCGCCGACGAACACGGACATCGCCGCCCCGCTACCCAAGCCAACCACCGCCACCGCCGCAGTTGCCGACACACCGCCGCCCACGCCGCCTACGCCGTGTACGCCACCCACGTCAACCATCGAAGCCACCCAAGAAACGCTGCCCGTCACTCAAGACGCAACTGAAGTGTTATTTTTGGTAACGCAAGCGGTTTATGGCCGCTTACCATTAGGCGGGCCATATATAAAAAAAACGACGGGTTGCACTCCGAGAGTGCCGGCAGAAGTGAAAACTTCAATTAACGTTGTGCATTTTTGATATTTTGGAATGGTTAGGGAATAATTTTGCACGAATTGCTTTAATTATCAGTATAAAAGGACTATCATGTATGTGGTACAATACAATATTTATTTATTGCGCTATTGTACACAAACATGACAATTTAGGCGCGGGCCGGTCAATTTCGCCGCGAACGATAGCACAAAGTGAATCCTATACTACAAACGCACACAGAGGGCAAAAAGACCGCGCCGCAGGTGCCCGGCGGGCACTGGCGGCGCGCCATGTCCGCGGCTGCCCGCCGTGATACATACAAACCAGTTTATATGCAGTAACGCAGACGGCGGCGCGGGGCGGCTAGCTCAGTCCGCGCCGCGCGCTTTTTAGTGATGGACTATTCACTAGAACGAACGTCCTCAACTGACTGCCTCTGCCCGTCGTGTGCTTTGTGTACGCGGCGAGGGCAGCCGCAGACATCGACGGGCAGACGCGGTTTTAATTGCTTCGCGGACAAAAAGCCCGCCCTGCCCCGTCGTCTGCAAAGCGCCTTATATTATATTAAAAAAGTTTATCTCTCAGAAAAATCAACTTACATGAATCAGGTTTAAGCGCACTTAGCGACATCTATTATAAAGAAATCAACTTACATGAATCACATTTAAGCGCACCAAGCGACATCTATTGTAAAAAATGCATTTTCTTCGCAATAAAACTGCCACGTGGAAGTTTATGGTCTCTCGACTCGAAGTCTCTATCTAGGACGACCTAGATAGAGACTTCGAGTCGAGAGACCATTGTGTGGAAAATTGTTAGCTGACTTTTTGAACTTGTTTTCGATTTTATTGTTCATTGTTGAATGCAATCTTCTGTGTGGTGATATATACCCAAAAAAATGCCTACCTGCTGTAACCACCGAGGCAGATTCAGAGTAGAATAGTTGAAGGGTCACAATTATTAGTAACCCTATCAGCATCTGCAAGGCAAACATAATTTATAAAATGCGAAAAATTACATTATTTGTAATAAATACATACATAATTTTTTGAAACGATACACCAATCAGCCTAGCTCCAAAGTAAGCACTGTAAGTAGGTATTTGTAAGGTTTGTGTTATGGGATATTACTGATACTAGGGTAACGGATAGAATAGGTACATTTATATTGATACATATAAGTTTATTATTATTTAGAAACACTTAAAGACATCCATGACTTAAGTACAAAGGCTTCACACATATATTTGCCCCAACAGGGTTCGAAACCAGGACATCTGAGTAGGCTAGGGATGTCGAAAGTTGAAAAAAATATCGATATATCGATACATCGATATTTAAAAAAATATCAAAATCGGCTTCGATATATCGCGAAAAAAACATCGATATATCGATATATCGGACCAATTTTCCCAAAAATATATTTAGGTCAGCCTAGCACAGTAATAATAACAATACAAATTATAATTAAAGAAAGAATTATGAAAGTACCAAATTGCCGCTACACTAAATGACAGTACAGTATCTCACGAAAGATGATACGAGGAATAATTATTGAACGAAATTTATCTCCCTAAAAATAGACCCTATTTTCGAATGATGAAAATGATTGCAGGGCCTCTCAGGTGCCATCTTTAGTAAACAACACTAATCACACACTTCCACAGAATATAATGGAATTCAGCACAACCAATTCACCAGCGAAACAGATTTACAAATCATAGACAATACTAAATACAGCACAGATCATAGATATGTTGAATATCATTAATCTGAGATCCAGTTACGATTTTTCCAGATACGAATTTAGTTAGATCGTGATATGACGCTAATAATTAAAAAATATCGTTTTTGATACGAATTTCGATATTGGTTATTTTGTATCCATGTATCGATATATCGAATCAAAATGTATTACTTACCGTTTTCAAGTTATAAATTGCGCAGGTATGAAAAATCCAATAGAGCGGTTTTGGGCAGTTCAAGTACACATTTGCAGTGCACATTTCAATGTACGTTTTACTATTTTTTATTTTTTTTCATGATCGAAAAACAAAAAAAAATTAAAAAAAAAGCTTTTTTTCATGATTGAAAAAAAAAATAGTAAAAACGTACATTGAAATGTGCACTGCAAATGTGTACTTGAACTGCCCAAAACCGCTCTATTGGATTTTTCATACCTGCGCAATTTATAACTTGAAAACGGTAAGTAATACAAATTTCAAAAAATTTTTGACGGTTTTTTCGAGTTTTTCAAAAAACGCCTACGAGTTGAACATGCCCATCGCCAAGGTGGCTTACTGACGTCATTTGGCAACAGAAAAAATAAGTCTTACCCATTAGGTTTTTTTTCACTGAAACGATATTTTTTTCGACAGATTGACTGTACTATTAACACATTTTACTACTTTGGAAATGTCTCTCTCGAAAACTATTCAGTTTAAAAAAAAATATTGGAAACCTCAATATCATTTTTGAAGACCTATCCATAGAAACACGTTGTTTTGACGAAAAAAAATTTGAGTTAAAGTTTTTTTTGACGTGACAACGTCTTAAATTAGGTTGCGGCTGGGAGTCACTTATGAAAAAGTGTAACGCTCGGTAACGTTACGATGAGTCTCTCGTGTTAAGTTTAAGTTTACATGTACAATGTTTTAGTAAACAAAATATATTTCTATAGTTAAAATTTGTGCAATTCTTATTTTCATTCAATTCCTTGTTCCTATTGTGCAATTTAATTATATTCATATCAATAAATATTCTACCGAGAAAAAGACGTTGTCACGTAAAATCTTCGCCCGTAAAACCGACTTTACAGGCAACCATATTTTTTTTTTTCTATTTTTGTGTGAAAATGTATACGCGGTTCACAGAATACATCTACTTACCAAATTTCAACAGTATAGTTCTTATAGTTTCGGAAAAGAGTGGCTGTGACGGACGGACAGACGGACGGACATGACGAATTTATAAGGCTTCCGTTTTTGCCATTTGGCTACGGAACCCTAAAAACCGGGCGAGTTATACTAAGGCGACTACCCCACCGTAGAAATTTGTAGATACGCAACATAAACGGCCATACCTTTTTTATGGTAACATACTTAAAAATTTGTTTTTCACAGCTTCAAGAGACCGTAGAGTCTGTGCGGAAAGAGAATGGGATTTAGATTGGAGGGCGCTGTAGTGCTTTTCTACCGTATTTGGAAGGTTTTACCCCTTTGAGACATGATTAAATACAAAAAACCACAAGAAATCACAACAACAAACAATCCGTATCAATACAAAACTTTGACGTTTTACAGATTGCTGGGTTTGATTGCCAAATAAAAATCTTAATGTTAGTTCCGTTTTCGCCACGCCCATTCTCTTTCCGCACAGACTCTAGACTTGAGTTATAATATTTATTTAATTATTTGTCATTTTATTATATATTAAAGCTGTTATTTATTTATTATGTTCAATGATATTAAAAATATAATAAGTATTACTTTCGTGTTCCCACGCGAGGTATGAGTTATAAGATAATTTCTACGTACCTTGGAAAACATACAGAATTTACAGTTTAGCAAAAAAACACTGCACTAAGTGTGTTTACAATTACACAGTAGATTTTATACTAATTGACTAATTTATTCCCTGGTCGAGATAATATGGAACAATCATTAATCGCGTTTGTGGGAAACACGTCATGTAAATTCATTATCAAAAATAAGGAAACCCAGCATTAAAACACCAATATTATTATGTTTAACTAGCGGCCCGCCCTCGCTTCGCTTCGGTGTAGAGCTGTAGTGTAGACTACAGTTTTTGTTCTCAGGCTTGTATTAAACACAATGACATTCATCTATGATTCTTCTTATACATGCATGCAAAGTCTCAGCCCGATCGGTTTAAAATTGACAAAGTTTCATTGCATTCACCCGGATTGCGAAGAGTGCAAGTTCAAGTCCCGTCTGCTGCCTGGTCCGTGTGGAATTTTTTCTAGTTATATTTTCTTTAGACTTAAGCATCAAGCAGTTACATGCTTAAAAATTTAAAATTAATACAATCTTATTATTGAGTAGCAACCGCCCGCAACTTCCGCAGCGTTATATTTAGTTTTAAATGAATCCCACAGGAAATAAACATTGTCCAGGATAAAGAGCATCCTCCACCACAGCGTAACCGCTACGGTTCAGCTTCGGCGGTGGTTGAAGACTAACAGCACAGCAGTCGCACTAATCCAGGAGTCATGGATTAGGAGTGGCACGGTGCGAGGCCTCTCTAGCTTAGGAGGTAAGCTCGTTCAAGCCACTACTAGCGACGTAAGGACCTTTTCTTTATACGCAGGCAAAAAATACTATTTACAGACGCCGGCGCCTTTAAGAGGCACATCGCCGAACGGACCTCACACCTGGCTCCCGCAAGCTCGTAAGTCCCAGCAGTGGCTGCCCACTGAGGACGCCGTAACCCTTACGGGCGCTTTACGGCATAATATCTGCTAAAAAACCGGCGGGGATTAGGGATTCTTCCGCGTCTAGCGCCGTAAGGACTTGCATATACATTTACAGAAATATCAGAACACAGAATTTCTGTTCCAGAGATCTCTGCGCTGTAAAACTGACCCTAAACCAAGATTATAACAGTTACGACGTGATTATAGCATCTCCGTATTTGCCTGACGGCGAGCCGGTTCACTAGAAAACGTTGCGTCTCTGATCCGCTTCTGCGCTCGGGAAAACGTTGAACTCATCATCGCGACAGATTCCAATGCCCATCGTCCTGTGTTTAGGAATGGAACAAACCAAAATATATATACAGGGTGTGACAAAAGTCCGAAATAAAACTTTAGGGTTTGGTTGTGTTCCTTGTATAGAATTACCTACGAAAGTTTGACGCCTTTTAGACCACTTTTATTTTCTAATTAAATTAATAAAAACATAGTTTTACACCGCCTATGACAAGCCTATAAATGCGTACGATTACTACTACCTATACAGACCCCCCTCACTCCCCCAGGCGCCCCTGCGCCCCGCTCAGATACCTACAAATTTTTATTTCGGAATACATACCTACAAATTTTATTTCGGAATTCTGTAACACCCTGTATAATAATGTTCGCCGGATAGCATCAAATTAATCAGAAGAGTGATATTATGTAATAAGACTCTGCCAGCGTCACCGACCGATTGAAAACCTGGAAAAAATCATGTTTTTCATGAAATTTTAAGGAAAACAATAACGGTTAATAAAGATTTGTAGTCGTTCAACTTTAGTTATAGAAAATCTCTTACCTATTGAAAATTCCTTAGAAAAAAGCATCAATAGTGACATAGATGAAGTTATTGTAGTGTAAAACCTTGCATTGCAACAAAGTCTAAAAAAAAACTATTTAAAAACCATAATAAAATACACGTATATTAAGCTAGCAGACCATGGTCGCAACGCGCACATCTAACCTACTGGGTATTTAGTTGCTAATTAGTTGCTAATTAGTTACACTATTCCCGATTTAGTTGCTCAACACCTGTAAAAGATACATGCGATCTGCTAGCTTAAGTCTTAACCTAGCAGACCACAATACTGTATCTTCGGTTCTCGTAAAGATATCGAAGTTCTGCAAACGGCATATTTAGTTGCTAATTAGTTGCTAATTAGTTACACTATTCCCGATTTAGTTGCTCAACACCTGTAAAAGATACATGCGATCTGCTAGCTTAAGTCTTAACCTAGCAGACCACAATACTATATCTTCGGTTCTCGTAAAGATATCGAAGTTCTGCAAACGGCATATTTAGTTGCTAATTAGTTGCTGTAGGACAGCATTATTTGTTTTATCCCCCCATCATCCCTTAATTGCCGCACCAGCACCCACACTACCCCCGAAATACGATAAAATTAAAAAGCTCATCAGAGAATATAAACTACGGCGTATTTCGTTGATAATTAGTTGCTGCAAAATAGCGTTGCTTATAGTATTTAACTATCAACCCTTAACTCCAAATCAGCACTGCAGCCACCCCCGAATAGGACGATATCGGAAAATTCTCGTAGGTGGAAAAAGACGCGGCATATTTAGTTGCTAATTGGTTGTTTGCCAAAAATGCAGTTAAGAGTATTCTACAATCATCCCCTAACCTCAGATGGAACCCCTCTACTCACTTAGAAACAGTAGATGGTTAAAATTCGCACGCAGTTGTTTAAGACTGCTGGATGTTTTGTTGTTAATTAGTTGCTGAAAAATAGCGTTGCTTATAATATTTGATTATCAACCCTTAACTCCAGATCATCCCTGCAACAACCCCAGAATAGAACGATATCGGAAAATTCTCGTAGGTGGAAAATAGACGCGGCATATTTAGTTGCTAATTAGTTGCTCGCCAAAAACGCAGTTAAGAGTATTCTACAATCATCCCCTAACCTCAGATCCAACCCCTCTACTCACTTAAAAATAGTAGATGGTTCGAATTCGCACGCAGATGTTTAAAACTGCTGGATATTTTGTTGCTAATTAGTTGCTCGCCAAAAACACAATTAAGTATTCTACAATCATCCCCTAACCTCAGATCCATCCCCTCTACTCACTTAAAAATAGTAGATGGTTCGAATCCAAACGCAGACGTTTAAAACTGCTGGATATTTTGTTGCTAATTAGTTGCTGCGAAAAAGCGTTGCTTATAGTATTTAACTATCAACCCTTGACTCCAGATCATCCCTGCAACCACCTCAGAATAGGACGATATCGGAAAATTCTCGTAGGTGGAAAAAAGACGCGGCATATTTAGTTGCTAATTAGTTGCTCGCCAAAACCGCAATTAAGAGTATTCTACAAACATCCCCTAACCTCAGATGCAACCCCTCTACTCACTTAGAAACAGTAGATGGTTAAAATTCGCACGCAGATGTTTAAGACTGCTGGATGTTTTGTTGTTAATTAGTTGCTGCGAAAAAGCGTTGCTGATAATATTTGATTATCAACCCTTAACTCCAGATCATCCCTGCAACCACCCCAGAATAGGACGATATCGGAAAATTCTCGTAGGTGGAAAATAGACGCGGCATATTTAGTTGCTAATTAGTTGCTCGTGAAAAACGCAGATAAGAGTATTCTACAAACATTCCCTAACCTCAGATGCAACCCCTCTACTCACTTAGAAACAGTAGATGGTTGGAATTCGCACGCGGATGTTTAAAACTGCTGGATGTTCTGTTGCTAATTAGTTGCTCGCCAAAAACGCAGATAAGAGTATCCTACAATCATCCCCTAACCTCAAATCCATCCCCTCTACTCACTTAAAAATAGTAGATGGTTCGAATCCAAACGCAGACGTTTAAAACTGCTGGATATTTTGTTGCTAATTAGTTGCTGCGAAAAAGCGTTGCTTATAGTATTTAACTATCAACCCTTAACTCCAGATCAGCACTGCAACCACCCCAGAATAGGACGATATCGGAAAATTCTCTTAGGTGGAAAAAAGACGCGGGATATTTAGTTGCTAATTAGTTGCTCGCCAAAAACGCAGTTATGAGTTTTCTACAATCATCCCCTAACCTCAGATCCAACCCCTCTACTCACTTAGAAACAGTAGATGGTTAAAATTCGCACGCAGATGTTTAAGACCGTTGGATGTTTTGTTGTTAATTAGTTGCTGAAAAATAGCGTTGCTTATAATATTTGATTATCAACCCTTAACTCCAGATCATCCCTGCAACCACCCCAGAATAGGACGATATCGGAAAATTCTCGTAGGTGGAAAAAAGACGCGGGATATTTAGTTGCTCTACTCAGAGGGGGTGGATCTGAGGTTAGGGGATGATTGTAGGATACTCTTATCTGCGTTTTTGGCGAGCAACTAATTAGCAACAGAACATCCAGCAGTTTTAAACATCCTCGTGCGAATTCCAACCATCTACTGTTTCTAAGTGAGTAGAGGGGTTGCATCTGAGGTTAGGGGATGTTTATAGAATACTCTTATCTGCGTTTTTGACGAGCAACTAATTAGCAACTAAATATCCCGCCGCTTTTTTCCACCTACGAGAATTTTCCGATATCGTCCTATTCTGGGGTGGTTGCAGTGCTGATTTGGAGTTAAGGGTTTATAGTTAAATACTATAAGCAACGCTATTTTGCAGCAACTAATTAGCAACAAAATATCCAGCAGTTTTAAACATCTGCGTGTGAATTCGAACCATCTACTATTTTTTAGTGAGTAGAGGGGGAGGATCTGAGGTTAGGGGATGATTGTAGGATACTCTTATGTGCGTTTTTGGCGAGCAACTAATTAGCAACAGAACATCCAGCAGTCTTAAACATCTGCGTGCGAATTTTAACCATCTACTGTTTCTAAGTGAGTAGAGGGGTTGCATCTGAGGTTAGGGGATGTTTGTAGAATACTCTTAATTGCGTTTTTGGCGAACAACTAATTAGCAACTAAATATGCCGCATCTATTTTCCACCTACGAGAATTTTCCGATATCGTCCTATTCTGGGGTGGTTGCAGGGATGATCTGGAGTTAAGGGTTGATAATCAAATATATAAGCAACGCTTTTTCGCAGCAACTAATTAACAACAAAACATCCAGCAGTCTTAAACATCTGCGTGCGAATTTTAACCATCTACTGTTTCTAAGTGAGTAGAGGGGTTGCATCTGAGGTTAGGGGATGTTTGTAGAATACTCTTAATTGCGGTTTTGGCGAGCAACTAATTAGCAACTAAATATGCCGCGTCTTTTTTCCACCTACGAGAATTTTCCGATATCGTCCTATTCTGAGGTGGTTGCAGGGATGATCTGGAGTTAAGGGTTGATAGTTAAATACTATAAGCAACGCTTTTTCGCAGCAACTAATTAGCAACAAAATATCCAGCAGTTTTAAACGTCTGCGTTTGGATTCGAACCATCTACTATTTTTAAGTGAGTAGAGGGGATGGATCTGAGGTTAGGGGATGATTGTAGAATACTGTTAATTGTGTTTTTGGCGAGCAACTAATTAGCAACAAAATATCCAGCAGTTTTAAACATCTGCGTGCGAATTCGAACCATCTACTATTTTTAAGTGAGTAGAGGGGTTGGATCTGAGGTTAGGGGATGATTGTAGAATACTCTTAACTGCGTTTTTGGCGAGCAACTAATTAGCAACTAAATATGCCGCGTCTATTTTCCACCTACGAGAATTTTCCGATATCGTTCTATTCTGGGGTTGTTGCAGGGATGATCTGGAGTTAAGGGTTGATAATCAAATATTATAAGCAACGCTATTTTTCAGCAACTAATTAACAACAAAACATCCAGCAGTCTTAAACAACTGCGTGCGAATTTTAACCATCTACTGTTTCTAAGTGAGTAGAGGGGTTGCATCTGAGGTTAGGGGATGATTGTAGAATACTCTTAACTGCATTTTTGGCAAACAACCAATTAGCAACTAAATATGCCGCGTCTTTTTCCACCTACGAGAATTTTCCGATATCGTCCTATTCGGGGGTGGTTGCAGTGCTGATTTGGAGTTAAGGGTTGATAGTTAAATACTATAAGCAACGCTATTTTGCAGCAACTAATTATCAACGAAATACGCCGTAGTTTATTCTCTGATGAGCTCTTTTTAATTTTATCGTATTTCGGGGGTAGTGTGGGTGCTGGTGCGGCAATTAAGGGATGATGGGGGGATAAAACAAATAATGCTGTCCTACAGCAACTAATTAGCAACTAAATATGCCGTTTGCAGAACTTCGATATCTTTACGAGAACCGAAGATATAGTATTGTGGTCTGCTAGGTTAAGACTTAAGCTAGCAGATCGCATGTATCTTTTACAGGTGTTGAGCAACTAAATCGGGAATAGTGTAACTAATTAGCAACTAAATATGCCGTTTGCAGAACTTCGATATCTTTACAAGAACCGAAGATAAAGTATTGTGGTCTGCTAGGTTAAGACTTAGGCTAGCAGATCGCATGTATCTTTTACAGGTGTTGAGCAACTAAATCGGGAATAGTGTAACTAATTAGCAACTAATTAGCAACTAAATACCCAGTAGGTTAGATGTGCGCGTTGCGACCATGGTCTGCTAGCTTAATATACGTATAAAATACACTTAGTTCCACAACGCTCCCGCTAGTACCAACAGTAACGGCTTCTGAGTTGCGCTAACTTTACGTTTTTTATAAAAAGTATATAGCACTTGAAATTTTATGCTTGGTTCTGCATCATCAGATGAAGTCTGTAAGGCCCCTATGGCCATAGGCAGCCCCCACGGATGTGTTTTAGTCGGTAAGAGTCTGACATAACCGCCAACAAGCCGTCTGTAGTGTATCCATGAGGATTTCACAACCGCTCCCCCGTCTAGGAGGAAATAAAAATAAAATAATGCTTAGTGTACAGTTCGACATCACCAGCTGGCGCTTTTCAAGAGTACCTGAACGGCTGAGTTACTATAAATATATGTCATTATAAATTTGAAGAGTTCCCATTATTTCTATAGGGTCTCCAAACCCTGAGTTGAGGACCATGGGACTAAGTGGGAAGTATACCCTTTCAAGCAAAAAACATATTTTGCGAATAATTGAGGAACATGGTTAAAAAAAGATTCAGAGGAATTGAAAAATCCATGTCTATATTAAAATATGCTATTTGTAAATTTGATAGCCCGTCAGCCATTGTAAGACTCCTTTTCATTGCATGTAAATTATAGAATGCGCAGGAATACTGATGTCCATTTTCTTTATACAAGGTGCAACCAATTACCTCACCCCACCTAATGTTAAGTGTAGGTGAAGTCCAGTCCCGAAGGTAGACGATACAGCAGAAAGTATGCTGCTGCAGTTATTCTAACCTTGCCGGACTGAACCCAACCCCTACCCGCGGAGCCCTGGAACTAGGGTTGCCACCTTTTGTGTGTCCAAATACGAGTAAAGTACATTGGACATTAAAGCTAGAAGAAAGAGTACATTGTGTCCACAATAAAGTACTTTTTATTCCACTTTATTACTAGGTTTATAAATATATTTTTCGTTGCTTCTAGCAACTTTTAATAAATACCTTTAATAAATATCGGCAATGAGAAAGGCCATGGTATAAAGCCAAACAGCCATGATAATGTTGACATTTGAGGTTAAGTTGCGTTCAGGAATGAGTTAAGAGCGACATCTACCAACAGTCGTTCCGTTTTACGAAAAAATTCTTATTAACAACATCTTATATATAAAATTCTCGTGTCACAATGTTAGTTACCATACTCCTCCGAAACGACCTGACCGATTTTTTAGAAATTTATACCCTTAAGTGTTTAGGATAGAATAGAATAGAAATAAATTTATTAGCCTTAAACACAGTCAGATTTACATAAATAAAACAGAACAAAATAGACCAACTAGGTCCCTGCCTCAGTTTAATACTACAGCAACACCAGGGCTGCTGCAGCGCTGATAATTCTGGCAGGGCCTAAGGTTGATGACACAGATAATAAATAACACAACAATAATACGCCAAAAGAAACAAGCATACCAATAAGTACATATCCAAGAGAAAAAAAATAATGGAATGGCTGGATAATTTAACAGTCTTAGCCTTAAGACAAGTGCAAAGATTAGCAGGAATGTTATCCCAGGAAATTGATAGAACACTACGTTACACACCCTTAAAATTATTTTTGGACAATATTTATTTTTTTATAATCTACTATATAAAAATAAGTCGGGTTTTCCTTCCTGACGCTATAACTCCAGAATGCACGAACCGATTTCCACGGTTTTGCATTCGTTGGAAAGGTCTCGGGCTCCGTGAGGTTTATAGCAAAGAAAATTCAGGAAAAATTTCAAAAAAAAAATCTTCTATTAATCACCAAACGAAATGTTACATAAAACGAAGCCATCTGATGGCGAAACGGAGTTCGCCTGGTTTGCTAGTCTACTATATAAAAATAAGTCGGGTTTTCCTTCCTGACGCTATAACTCCAGAACGCACGAACCGATTTCCACGGTTTTGCATTCGTTGGAAAGGTCTCGGGCTCCGTGAGGTTTATAGCAAAGAAAATTCAGGAAAAATTAAAAAAAAACTTCTTTTAATCACCAAACGAAATGTTACATAAAACGAAGCCATCTGGTGGCGAAACGGAGGTCGCCGGGTTTGCTAGTGTGGTATAAAAATAAACACGTCCCTAAATTTTCTCTTCTACCACCTGCCCCTATTTTTATAGCGGTACGAAGTTCGCTGGGTCAGCTAGTTATTTTGTATATTTTATGTAAAAAAATAAAATCTAATATCGAACGCATAAATTTAGCGCATTTGGTACCAAAACCACTTGAAGCTTCGTCTTGTTCGTCGTGTGGGAGAAGCATATAAGTTAAGGGACATAGTTAGGAATAACAAATCCATATAAGTATTATAGCTCAAACTTCCGTAGATTTTTAAACTCAAAAAACTATCCCTTAAGGTCCATAAATCGAAGGAAGAGGAAATCGTAGAGTATCTGCGGATCAAGACGAAGTTCTCCCTTAGAGTCGCACGGTTGGAATCTCGCCATAATATTAATTTTACTTCTTTCGTGGTGAGAGTACCAACCGAACACCTAGCGAACTTTATGAAAGAAAAGCTTTGGCCGAAAGGTGTTGTGTTCCGGCGGTTTCGAAGCCGGATACCGGACACCATTCTGCGTCACACGTCGCCGTCAATACGTGCGCACGTAAGTTTGCAATAAGTTTTTAACTATGTTTTATATCTGTATATATGTTAGACTTTAAGGTATGTATCTATGGGCATACGTTGCCTGACTGTAAATTAATAAATAAAAAAAAATATGCTAATAAAATTACAAAAAAAACTTCCAATCGCTTTAACCTACTTGCGATGCGAAGTTGCCGTAAATAAACCGGCCAGTGACAGCAATTTAATATTTCTTATTGATAAATAAATCAAAGCTGTTACGTAACTATCATAATCGATAAGCTAACAAGACGATGCTTTGGCAAAGTGATTTTATTGCTCCAACTTTAGGACAACGTTCTCAAATCGAACCTATTTTAACAGTTTGGCTATCAAAAAACTAGTTTGTCACACTCAAAGTTGACAAAAACCTCGAAGGTGTCGCATCAGCAAATTGTCAATATAGTGCTGTTTTTTCCTCATTTCAACATACAAAGGAGGTGTTTTCACATTAATGTTTTTTAGAGTGAGCCGACCTGTCGGGCCGGGCGAACGTTACACGCTCAAGCGGCCTTGCCAACTCTCATGAGGAAAAATAAATAAAAATAAAGACTTTATGATAACCTGTTCTGTGCATCAGTAAGACGTTATTATCTCTTTAAAACAACTGTGCTACACGTAAGTCTAGAGAAAAAAGAAGAAATTCGAATTTCGAAAAACGAAGGTGAGTTTTTTGGTTTATAATTTTCAAAAAGTACTTTTTTTTAAATTTCGTCTGTTTACAGCAAAGCGTAACCAATTTCTGGCAGTCTAATCTCGATTTATACGTCTACAATGCATATTAATCAGCGTTTACATTGTAGTTCAGTAGGTATCTAGAGAATATTAAAGCTCCGGGGTTTTTTTTTGCTTGTATTGTTACGAAACCGGAAAGTCCCTAGGCCAGCTGAGTTTTATGAATAATCATTTTTCGATTAAAATACCAGTCTGGCAAGGTAATAGATACCAACTTTTGAATAAAATAGTCATTAAAACACTTATTTCTTTTTAAAATATGTTTTATTATAATATGTGGGTATGTAGGTAGGTACTTTATTTATCGTATTGAAGAAATAATTTTAGTGTTTAAACTTTTTTGAAAGAAGCTTTTTTGTGTTTCTTTAAATAGCCGATTTATATCTTTTGTGTATCGTGTCTGTTCTTTGCACTAATATTATAAAGAGGAAAAGTTTGTATGTAAGTATGTTTGTAAATAATGGGCTCAAAAAGTACTGGAGCGATATTAAAAATTCTTTCACCATTTGGATGCTACATTATCATTGATTAATATAGGCTATAGTGTATTTTCAAAAAGTTAGGGTTCCGTATGAAAACTTCGATAATGTAACCCAACATGTGTAAAAAAATTACAAAAAATAGCTTTATACGCGTACGCAGCGGAAGTCATTGATAATAGAGCAAAGTGATGTACTAAAGTTTATAGAGGATACCAATATCTACAAAAAAGTTTACAATACCATATGTCTAACTATTACAGTTATGTCACAACGAGGGGTCCCCTGCGGTTTCACCCGCGTTAATTTGAAGAAAAAGGAGTCAAACTTAAAATATGTACATAGGCTGTCGGGGACTTTTTTAACAGAACTTTTAAATTGGAAGAATTCCGTTATACATTTTATTTTAATTTTATTTTTTTACATTTTACATTTATTTTTACCCAGCGCAAGCAACGGAATCTCACAAACGGAATATTTTTACCCGTTTTTGCAACATTTTTCATCGATGTTCCGCTGCTACTGGTCAATAGCCTGGTAATATATAGCCTTATAGCCTTCCTCGATAAATGCACTAACCAATACAAAAATAATTTTTCAAATCGGAACAGCAGAACAATGTTGCATTCGGTACAACAGGTCCTAAAGTACGCAACGAATTTTTTACTTGGAATGGAAGGTACTTAATTCCATGAGCTGTGGTTAAATTTCGGGGTAGTTTGGGGGGAGGGGAGGGGGGCTTCTAATGGAAAGCTGAGCCATAATTATTTACTAGAGCTTAATAATTATAAGACAGCATTGTAAAATTTTAATAGTCTTATAATATTTACATACCGGCTGCATATTTATAGTAAAACAAATGCCCATAATAAGTAGTTTTTTTGGCGTTCATAAGAGCTTGTTGTAACAGAGCCGAGCGCCTAGACTGAATCAATTATTTGAATTTTATGAGTTTTTTTTTAAATAGCCGTTAAGTTAATGCTTCACTAAAGTGTTTCACGCAAACAATAAATATAGTAATTAATTGATTTATTTGTTTCTCATTAAATTGATCGGTTAAACTTTTATTTTCTATCAAATATAGTATTTACGAAGCTGTTACCTCTATAAATATAGTAGAATATTGACTTTGACCGTATTTTTGCTGCGCTGTGCTAAGGCATAATAAGATTTTATTTTTAAGAAAGCTTTTACTTGCAAATATCTGCTTAAAGCAAAATATAGTAGTTTCGCTTACTATATTTTTTTAGAAATAGTATTTGATCCCCTAATATAGTAGGATACTATATTCAGTGCCGTCTTTGACCTATTGGAGGCCCTATTAGGATAATGGAGCCCCTACGACCCCCGTTTGGTGATTTAACAGGAACTAGGGACTTTATATTTGATCTGAGGGGGCCTCCTATCGATCGCGGGGCCCTGGGCACTTGCCCAAAGTGCCCACTGGGAAAGAGGGCTCTGACTATATTATATCGTAGGGTTGCAACCCCTGTTATACACCCCGGCAAAGTTCTTGCGCAAAAACCATAGACAAGGTAGCCTACGCTTTTACATACAAGAAAGTCTACAGCGCAAGTTGCTGTGTCTGTGGTTTTTCTTAAGGAGTTTGCCGCTGCCTATGCCTTCATTCACTTCGTCAAATCCATTTTGTTTTTTTTCGTAAATTGAGTAGCGGAAAATTATAATGGTATATTGTTTCTCAAGCTTTCATGGTCACTAACATTATAGTAATATATGTTATTAACGGGATTGTTACCATGTACCTTGGTTTTAGCGCGTATCCGATATTTCGGCACTGTTGCAAGCGCCATGATCAAATAACAAAACATTAAAATTTCAATCGTGAGGACGGGTTTGAACTGTCCAGTGTCTGGAATCCTGTGGTTCGTATGTGTAAAAACCGGAAAAATCAAAAAGTGTCCTGTCGCAATCCGATATTGTAAGTGTTGTGTGTCGGAAACAGTTTCGAGTGAATAGTGAGAATGTGAACAGTGGTACGGGTATCGAACGCAATAAAAGACTTCGTCGGAGGGTAGACCGATATGTCTGCCAATAACAGCCTACCCGTAATTACTTCAGTTACTCTGTGATCATGGCGCTTACAACAGTGCCGAAATATCGGAAACTCGCTAAAAACAAGAAACATGGTAACTATCCCGTTAATAACATATATTACTATAATTATAAAGGTTAAAAGGATGAAGGATTCGTGCGCAGCTCTTCCCGACGAGCATGAAAGATAGAGGGTAACTCGGCGAAGGCTGAAATTCTACGATCGTTACATGCGACGATATATATGTATATATATAGACACACACACACGCATATATATATATATACTAGCTGACCCAGCGAACTTCGTACCGCCCTAAAAAAATAGGGGTTGTCCAGCGGACAAAATTGTGAATCTAAACCATTCTCAGATCCCCTTGAACACACACAAAAAATTTCATCAAAATCGGTCCAGTCGTTTAAGAGAAGTTCAGGGACATACACACTCACAGAAGAATTATATATATAAAGATATATATATATATGTGTGTGTGTGTGTATAGGGTGGTCCAATTACTAACGAATCCGAAATATATATCCGAAAATACCCCATGTATGCTCCGCGATTTTTCTTAGTTTTCGAGTTATATTTAGTTTTTCTGTATTTTTAATGATTTCTGCCAGCGAGGTTTCAAAAATTCATATCTTTTTTTGTAGTAGTTATTTTGCAGTCATTTTTTGTGGCATAATTTACTTGAATGTTGTTTTAATAAAAAAAAACTCAGCTTTCTGAAATTTTTTAATGTTACTCAAAAAAGGCTTGAAAGTTGAAACTTTCATTTTTAGTAGGATTTACTCAAACATTCAACTTCAATTTAAAGATACAAAAAGGAGTTTCCATAGCTTCTGGCTAAGTTTAAAAACTCTGCAAGCTTCTAAACTACCAAAAATCATAACAAAAATTGTACTTAATCTATTATTGTTTTAATTGGCTTTCGAAGGCAGATAGGCTAAAAATCATTGAAACACATTTAAAGAATTAAAAACTATTTTATCTACTTTTTATCATTGGTATGGTAAATTAAACTTAAAAATGTAATTACAAATTAAATTTAATTGAAATTCCTGTAAAATAACTCGAGCATGTGTAATTTTATAATAATTTCGGTTTCACCACTAAGATTTTAAATGTGGGCAAATTTAAAAATCAAATGGCTAGTTAGGAAATTACCTGTTTTTTATTATCAAATAAACAGCACACATTACTGAAAAATTAATATTTATTGCAGTAATTTATAAAACAGATTTTTTTTAAGACGTCAATGGTGACGCATTTCCGTTTCATCTTTTTTCATAGGATTTTTGCATTTACACCCATTTCAAACAGAAGTTATACTTCAAAACTACTGCGGTTTTATAACCTTGATTTTGATTGTACCAAATGAAGAACCACAATCTTGATAAACATTACGCAAAAAATTACCTTAAAATCTCTGACCATGACAACAAGGCAACTACATACATATAATTTGTACCCATGTTAAAAACATATTTTCAACACATTTGCCCAAAAAAATGTATACGGAGATTGTATACATTGTTCGAAAGTTAATTACGGGTCATACACGCTCCCATAACTGGCACTTTTTTTTTTAAAAATCAGATTAAACCTCCTTGGAAACGCTTAGAAATATATACAAAGGTATATTTTCCTAACTTTGATACTAAAAAGAAAAAGAAACGAAAGATGCAGTTGGACTTTTTGGCGGGACCGGAAAGCATCACTTTAGCAGTTTTGTTTTTCTTGTTAAAAATTGTGTTGTGGCGGATGTTAGTGTCTAATAATGGTGGATTATTAACCACTAAGTCTTCGGGAACATGCACAAGTGTTGGCAAGTAAAACGAAATAGCGGAAAGTGTTTTTCGACGTTCCCTCAAGAAGTCCACGGTGAGGTTCCAGGAAATCCCCACACACCCACCAAAGGGGGATTGACTTGACTGCCGCTTACTTGGACTTGATTTATTACTTTGACCACGAGTGCTATAGTATTTGTAATCATTTTAACACTTGACATTGGCTAAATGCACAAGCCGTGCGAAGCCATTTAGAAAAAAAAAACATGTGGTTCTAATTTTCACCACCCGCACGTGGCGCCATTTTGAAATGCACCCCATTTTCTTATAAAAAAAAGTTTGCTTCATTACTTAAATGATGTACTTATACTGTTTTCTCGCAAATGTGATATGATCACATGTGTTTAAAAGAAACTAGAATTCTTTTAGTTTAACTACTTATTATTTTATGGGTAAAATTATTTTATATTTATCTAATTTCCGAGGAGGAATTCGTCGAGAGCGTAACCTTTTTTTTTTTCTCCCAGGCGGGGGAGCGCGTGTCTCACGGATACCCTACAGCCAGCTGCAAGGTTATGTCAGACTCCTACTGACTAAACACCCGTAGTTCATGCTTATGGCCGGAAGGGTTTTACAAGCTTCATCTGTAGCGATCATCCCCTGAGAGGGGGACGATGCAGAGTGATAAACCTTTTTTTTGTTTCCTCTCAGGCGGGGGAGAGGCTGTGAAATCCTCATTGATACCATACAGCCGGCTGAAAGGTTATGTCAGACTCGTACTGAATCAAAAACTCCCGTAGGGGCTGCTTCTGGCCGGGAAGGCCTCTACGGCTACGTCGGAAGCGATCGTCCCCCAAGGGGGGGAGCGACGCAGTGAGTTAAACCTCGACTCCTGATATTTTTATACGCAATTTTCAGCGTTAGCTACTACTGTCCCTTTCGCACGGTAATTTCCAATGCGCGACAGCAATAGACTTATCAAATACCTATTTCTAAAAGGTCTCTTAGCTCGCATCAGCTCTTATTTTATTTATTTATTTATTTATTTATTTCCCAATTACATTAACAAAACATATAAGTAATAACGGCGAACAAAAACCATGCAAGGTTTGTCCGTCGCCGTGTTCACCAGTTGGACAACAGGTACATACACAAATTATTATTATCAATGAGGTGCAGGTAGAATTACTATTGTCCGTCCGAGAATCGCGCACCTCGTCATATCGCCATTGTGTTGATGACGATGGCAGAGTGGCGATCTTAAAACTTTCATTGGCATCGGGGCTTGTTAAAATCACACTAATTATATTTGTCACAATTCTTAAATGCCATAAGATGACTTGAAGCAGCCAGTAATAAGTATTTAACCTATATAATATTTCTGATATATTTGAAAATGATATAAGCACGTCAGTAAGATTGTATGTTACAAACGACAAAACAAACAAACACAGATAACATGCCGAAGTCACGACCTTTTTAGTACAACGGGTCTGAAGATAAATAGAAGAAAAAAACTTTTTTTATAAATAAGTTTTTATTTGAATATCAACTTTTTAAAGTCCTTACACAATTAATTAAATACTAGCTGTGCTCTGCGGTGTTATCCGCGGTTAATTAGGGATATTTTCCCGCAGTAAAACGTAGACCATGTTTTAATCCAGAGTGTCAGCTAACTCCATACCAAATTTTATAAAATCGCTCCAGCTATTTAGACGTAAAGAAGTAACAAACATACACACTCACAAACTTTCACCTTTATAATATTACTAGCTGTACCCCGCAGTGTTACCCGCGGTTTATTAGGTATATTTTCGTGGATTAAAACGTAGCCTATGTGTTGATCCAGGGTGTCAGCTAACTCCATACCAAATTTTATTAAAATCGCTCCAGTCGTTTAGACGTAAAGAAGTAACAAACATACACACTCACAAACTTTCACCTTTATAATATTACTAGCTGTTTCCCGCAGTGTTACCTACGGTTTATTAGGGATATTTTCCGGCAGTAAAACGTAGCCTATGTGTTAATCCAGGGTGTCAGCTAACTCCATACCAAATTTTATTAAAATCGCACCAGCCAGTTTGTTATTCTTCACGTCTAAGCGTGAAGAAGTAACAAACATACACACTCACAAACTTTTGACTTTATAATATTACTAGCTGTGCCCCGCAATGTTACCCACGGTTTATTAGGGATATTTCCTGCGTTAAAACGTAGCCTATGTGTTAAACCAGGGTGTCAGCTAAATCCATTATTTTTTTTATAAAATCTTTCCATATATTAGTGTGATATAATATAAAAACTTGTCGCAAGATTTAAGTAGGTGCTGGTATCTATTGAGTTTGAAAATTTTAAGAATTTAATTTAACCAGATCAAATTTTGTTTATCTGCACAGGTAAATCTCGCGACAAGACTTTTATATTATAAAAATTGTGGAGGTACCTAACGACTATAAGTTCATAGTAACAGTTTTAAAGCGCATTTAAATAAAAAGTAGTTTGACTTGGGGGGTAAACTGGCGAATGTGTTACTATTTCGCGTTACGATTAGTGTCATCGGTGACTCATCGGTAAATAATAAATAATACCCGTCACAAAATACATGAATAATGCTTGGTGATGAAAACGGACCCAGCGCGGATTGGTGGGCGATAACGGACCCAGTGCGGATTGGTGGGTGATAACGGACCCAGTGCGGATTGGTGGGTGATAACGGACCCAGTGCGGATTGGTGGGTGATAACGGACCCAGTGCGGATTGGTGGGTGATAACGGACCCAGTGCGGATTGGTGGGTGATAACGGACCCAGTGCGGATTGGTTTGTGATAACGGACCCAGTGCGGATTGGTGGGTGATAACGGACCCAGTGCGGATTGGTGGGTGATAACGGACCCAGTGCGGATCGGTGGGTGATAACGGACGAAATCACCTGCTGTCTCATTTTATTCTAGTCTCAGAGAATGTGACAGCATTTACTTTAATTAATCTTAAAAGATAATAGTGCGGTGTCGCAGGAATGCCAATTTGTCGCCAAAACTGTACGACAATATATGCCATTAATTTTATAGTAAAAATAATTTAATATTGATTCGTAACGTCGTTACGGTTAGTCGAATACCTTTTTACGTGTACGGTACGGTTAACCGCATGATGCAAACACAATTAATAATGGATTATTCACAGAAAAGTATGTATTAATAATCATTTATTTCAAAGACATTCTCTAGATGGATATATAAAATTCTCGTGTCACGGTGTGCGTAATTGAACCACTCCGAAACGGCTCGACCGATTTTCGTAAATTTTTAAATGCATATTCAGTAAGTCTGAGAATCGGGCAACATCTATTTTTCATCCCCCTAAATGTTAGGGTGGTCCGTAAATTTTTTGTTTTGGACAAAATTTTTTGTTTTTATTTTTTTATGATACATCATACAAAATGCATACAACCCTCAATTTTCACCCTTCTACCATCAAACCCTATTTTTTATGGCGGTACGAAGTTCGCTGGACAGCTAGTATTAATATGTACTACCAAACAGTGAACCATATGTTCACCAAAACCTGATTTCTCGAAAACCGGAAGTGCTACGTTACTCAAATCCGGTTTGTAGTTATCAGACTATTCTTAACTTAGCACCACAGACAGACGGACGGATTTGTCTAATAGATAAGAGATACCTATATTACATACTTTTAATTACGTATTCATTACTTGTGTATTCACGGAACACAGCACACAATCCGACCAAGATTTTAATTATACCTTAATGATCTCTTTATTTAAGATGTTATTTTACTAATAAGAAATAATTTACATGATTGAGCCTTTCGATCGGTACACTAATAACCGGTTATTTCTAACATTTATCGGGTTCGATTCCCATTTCAGACAGGCGCTATTTTAAAATTCCTTCAATTCTGTATATGAAGCGTAAGACTATTGCACCCGCAGAACACAGAAAGAGGTTAGAATGGCATTGTGTGCGGGTCAGACGCGCCACGGTTATGTGTGAGCAAATGCCCATAACTTGATCAAAACTTAGTTCTGATTGCGTCGTTGCTCTCGACTGTGAGCGCTGTATGGTTCGATTGTTTGATTTCGCGTCATTTGATTGGCTATTATCTATTAGATGGAAGTGTGGTGGGGGCGAGCCGGCGACATCGGTTCCCGTACAAACGGTCTGTGCTCACCCTTCTAATCTCTTTCTCCCCTCGACAACGGCTAACTAGAGCCGATGTTCGAGTCTCAGAGACGCCCTCTAGTTGAGCCGACCACCTCAGGTTCGAGTGGTCTAGAGGCTCCAGACGAAGAGGAGCATACCCCCGTGGGGAGATGCCATCCGCCTGGAATACCTCTAGAGGCACTCGCCAATTCTCGGGTTGAGGTCCCCTTAGGATCTCGCCGTCCCCAAACCCGGTGACTCTGTAAAGGTCATATGCGACAGACAGCATACAAACTCAAAAAAAAAACCCCTGTGTTCTGTTGTTGGATACCTTGCACCATAGGTAAAGCCACCTCTGATGAATAAATTTCCCTTATTATTTGCAGATGTTAAAACCATTCCTATTCGTGGTTCTGCTGGCGGCGGCCCATTGTCAAGACAACAATGGCGACCTGGAGTCCGTATTGTCTCAGATCTTCGGGAAGCCCCCGGGAGGTGATGCCGGCGCCGCCGGCGCCGCCGCAGTCACCCAAGCTCCTGTCATACCTGAAAACAAGAATCAGGGGCCAGTAGCTTCGACTATTGTGCCTGGTGTGGCGCCTAACGCAGGAAATGGTGAGTTTTATTTTTTTCAAACATGCTTGGAAAGGTGATCGCTCAAATTGGCCCAAATGCACAAAAAATATTGACATATAGGTAATTCTTGGCGTAATTTATACTTTATTCTACAGTCATTAGATTTTAACGGACAACTTTGTATAATATTATTCATTTTAAAAAGGACTTTTAATTTTACCGGTTTCAAAAACATACGAATCATTTTTAATGGCTTTGGGTGTAGTAACATTCAGCCAAAGGCTGATCGAAGTTGTTTATATAACATAAAATCAAATCTTTTTTGTAAAGATCGATAAAATAAAACATTTGTTTTTATTACATTGTGGTATCAATATCCACAACAATATTATCATTTTCACTACATGCAAATGTGCTAAGACAATTATAATAGATGGTAGGCGACATCATAAAGTCTATTGCCATAGTACATTTTTTGCCAAACACCTCCTTAAACACATTATAAGGTGTGATACACTAAAAAACTAAAATATAGTTAATATAGTTATAATGTAAACATAACAAAAATAATTAAGCTACTGAAGATATAGCTGTATAACCTAAATCTCTTAGCTTTCTTTGGTAACGAGAGTTTAAAAATTCTCTCTAATCTGTGGCTCATTCACAATCATCACACAGTTTCTGTCACAAAGTACCTTCCTTATTATAACCGGAAATGCTTATATGATACCTGATTTTAAAAGTTACTCTTGTGCACTAACTTTAAAAACAGGCAACTATCTGTTGATGTACATGCTCTATATAACTGAATGTAATACATAATTTCGGTACTTGGCTTGATTTCCCTAGTTTGCTATATAACTTATTTGTTTTTTATTATTTTAATACTTAAGTACCTATTGGCAAACATAACCTCAAAATCGTTCAGTGTATATGGTTTATAGAAGTTCTCAGTGGTGTCCGTCAATTATATTTGTTTCTACAGTAATTTATATATAATTTCGAATGTAGGAAACAATTTTTATGATTATTGGTCTTTAGGCCAAACATGTATGGAAGCTGAGCAATCAATCTCCTTTAGCCATTAATTTGACAACCTTCTTAACGTTATCCTTCTTAAAAACTTTGTTCCAAAATATTCACTAAAACAGTGCACATAATCTACAGACTCACCATCGTCCAGAATACTTGCGTTTCCTTAATTATAAAAAATATCTCCTACCGAAAACCAACAATGAATATGGTCCGAGAAAACTAAAATATGTTATTCCTTAATTTCTAAATGAAATACCCTCCAGTATTCAAGAATTGTATGTGAAAGATAATTGTAAACTTAAACTTAAGAAATATTTGTTAGAGCGAATCGTTGTAGACAGATAAACCCATGTTTATGGGTTTTTAGATACAGCCATTGTATCATCATCATCAGCCTCTTAATGTCCCCACTGCTGGGGCACAGCCCTTCCCTATGGATGGAATAGGGAGATTGGGCCATGACCCACCACGCGGGCCAAGTGCGGATTGGTGGGTGCTAACGACTGCAGATGCAACCGGGACCAACGGCTTAACGTGCCTTCCGAAGCACGGAGGAGCTCGAGATAGTAAATTTTTGGTCACCCATCCAATGACCGACTACTGCGAAAGTTGCTTAACTTCAACGATCGCAGCCGAACGCGCTAACCAGTTGCGCCATCGAGCTCCTCCAGCCATTGTATATTAAAACGTAATGATTTGATGGAATAAAAAAAGGGTAAATCGAAATTGCTATACTGACCAAATACATGCGAGCTGGACAAAGTTGTAATTATATTACATAACTTGTGGCCCGCCCTCGCTTCGCTTCGGTGTAGAGCTGAAGTGTAGACTACAGTTTTTGTTCTCAGGCTTGTATTATACACAATGACATTCATCTATGATTCTTTTTATACATGCATGCAAAGTCTCAGCCCGATCGGTTTAAAATCGACAAAATTTCATACAAGCTTTCATTCCCTATTCCTCCCATCCCCTTGGAGGTAGAATTGATCCAAATCCTTTCTTAGCGGATGCCTAAGTCATAATATCTACCTGCATGCCAAATTACAGCCTGATCCGTCCAATGGTTTGGGCTGTGCGTTGATAGATCACTATGTCAGTCAGTCAGTCAGTCACCTTTGAGTTTTATTTAAATAGATTAAAGGAAAACATTAAATTTAAAAAAGCTGTTTTAAAAAAAAATACTAATGAACAAATCGCGGAAAAATATATTGTTGTCCGCTGTCCGTCATTGATTTTGAAAAGTAAATTATATTTCAATTTCCGCGCATTGATTGAGAAATATTTTGTGCACCCCACAAGCTCGGGAAGTTTTCTTTTGTCATTCGAAATCTGAATGAAAAGCTACTATGATTGGGATATGGGTGGAAAGTTTTTTTTAAATACTTATAAAAAAGATGGGGTGGGGTGCAAAAAATATTTCTTAATTCATCATCATCCATCCATCCATCAGCCATTCTCCGTCAACTGTTGGACATAGGCCTCCCCCATGGAACGCCACAATGCGCGGTCCTGCGCTATCCGCATCCAGCGGCTCCTAGCACATTTGACGATGTCGTCAGTCCACCGTGTTGGGGGCCGCCCCACGCTGCGTCGTCCGGCACGTGGTCGCCACTCGAGGACCTTTCTTACCCAACGGTTGTCAGATTAAGTTGTTTTCTTAATTAATGCGCGGAAATTAAAATACAATTTACTTTTCAAAATCAATGACGAACAACGTTAGAAGAATGTTAGACAATCGCAGCTTTCTTTTTGTGTGTATAGTAGGACGATTTTTGAAATCTAATTTCGCGAAAATCCAAGGGTTCTTTTTTGCAAAAACGCGGATAAATTAGACAGGGCGCAATCTTACTTAGCTGCACTTGTCCGGTTTTTATAAAATATCACAAAAGCATAATTAGCTGAGCTGATTTCCTTACACCAAACAGTAATACTATGAATAGATATTAATAATGGTTACACAAATGAAATAAATATGTACATATATCTCTGTGTTTGAGGTCATTTGATGACCTTTAACGTCTTGTTTGATAATAATTAAACATTGGCGCGATAGTTATATAGTGACCACAGACTAAAATTTATGTTTTTTTTATCCGGTTGACATGGCTTGCGGTTTGTTTGGGGTTTTTTTTAAAAGGATAGAATCAAGGCTAATGTTGTGTCAAGTTTATTGACAAGGCTGAAACTTAAAGCTATGCAAATCAATACACAGATGCTCATAACTGCCCTAGTTGTTAGTGGACACTTTATTAGTGTATGTATTTTTCTATATTTAATTAATTTAAATGTAATAAAATTATCGTTTGTTTTCCAAATAAAAAAGAAATAAAAATTAAAGTTATAAAATTTTACTAGAATTATTTTTCATTAGGTTTAAACGTCAAGTAGATAATGTTTAAAAAAATTATTTAGATTGGCAATTTATGCGAAATATATTATTCATCATAGTAATTTATGTTATTAACGGGTTTGTTACCATGTATCTTGGTTTTAGCGAATTTCCATATTTCGGCACTGTTGCAAGCGCCATGATCAGTTACGACGTGATTCTACAGTGCCGAAGTATCGGAAACTCGCTAAAAATTAGGTACATGGTTTGTTACCCGTTAATAACATAAATAACTGTAATGTTAGTGACCATGAAAGTTTAAAACAATATAGGTATTATTATTCATTTTATCACAATTACAAATTTACGATAACTATAACTGGTATTTTTTTTAAGTTCATTGAACCTTTGATTGTTTAAATTTATTACATAAAGCAATCGCTAATCAGAAAGGCCCAAGCTTCATTACTTTGTTTATCCATAGTACATGAGCGACTGAACCATAAACTGACACTAGTTTTTATTATTAAATATATTTTATAGAAGAAATACAGTCTTAATGGTACAAGCAAAATGAGCAAAACCTTTAGGTGTAATAAAAAATCTCATCCAAATGGTGCAAGACGGCTTACGTTATACGAGAAAAAGGAGATATTGCCGTAATTAACTCACGAAAAGTGAAATTAACTTCTTAGATTATAGTACCCACTAGCGTTTGCCTGCGACTTCGCCCGCGTGGACTAAGGCCCGTATTACAGACAGAATGACAACCATGTGTTGATCTTTACCTGAGTACAGTTAGAAAGGGATGCCGCTTTGTGCAATTTATAGCGACATCCCTTTCTAACTATGCTCAAGACTAGATCAATCACTGAGACTCTTTCTCTACGTAGTAATAATTACTGTTATTCATTAACAGATGAACTACAAAGTATACATTTAGGTAACCGTCAAAACTGTTGAATTTCGTTTGATTTTGGCAAAAATAACGATCGAAAACTTACAACATGCTTTTCTGTTAGGCCCGAGCAATATAATATATCATTGGGCCCGAGGGGATCGTGCCGATGATATAAATGCGTTACTTAAATGGCCCTTAGTAAAAGTATCTGTTCACTACAGTAACAGTAAAAGGTCTGATAACAACCAATAGGGTATTTGACAGTATTAAAAATAAAGTGCCAATTGTTAGCATCTGTGTTTAGAATGAATAATGGCAGGGGTTTTTACTATTTTTACAAAAAGAATATTCATAATTTTACTAAAAACCCACGAAAAAGATAATAGTTTTCTTATCATTGTCACGTGACCCAGAACGCTTGGGATTGTCGGAGCCTAAAATGACATCACACGCAAGTAAACTTCCGGTTAAAGTGGCATTACATTGTATCGTTTGACGTTTTATTAACAGTCGTGTGACGTCACACACTAGTAAGACGCCATATTGTCCAGTGTAACGTTTTCGCGGCAACATGAAAATGGAGTTTTTGATTTGGTTATTTTTACTGAAATACGCAACAGAATGATGAATATCCACTTGTTACGGACTCCATAAACATTAGTCACTAAAGTGAGATCGTTTTCTAAAACTTGTCAAATACCCTATTATAGCGATTATAAACGTTGAAGTTCTTTAAAAGACAGAAATACTGCGATAAACACTGACGATGCA